GATGTCTGCTTCATGACTTCCTTCAGTGTGTAAAAAGAACCAGCTATTAGCATTAGCTCAGAGACCATATTTGGACTCAATGTTTCAAAACTGCTCTTCCTCACAGGAGGTGTGAGAAATATCCTGCAGCACTAAGAGGAGAAATCAGGTTTAAGGTTACTTGATAAGTCAGAGCGTGCACACACACACACACACACACACACACACACACACACACACACACACACACACACACACACACACACAGAGAAACAGACACTTAATCACGCTTTTATCTCTTACTACTGGATGATAACATGTAATCCCTGTGAAAGTCATCTCTGCTGACCCCGACTCAGAATAAAGAATAATAAGCAACTTGATAAAAAATGAGCCGGGGAATGAAATCGATGCATTGCTTGTGCCGGAGTTTCTGTAAATTGACAAACGGACAAGAATGAATCATAAATTTGACATCAGAAATGCATAATGTGATGGGGCGGCCGATGCATTATTCACACAGCCTATTGATTGCATTACAATGCAGCTCTCCGTTATCTCCATCAGGCGTTCAATGTTCTCCTTTTCAGTGTGCATCCTTTCTGATCAATCTAATTAAAAGGCATGCATCACTTCAGTGCGGATATTTACACATGGAGCTCTAACATCCAAAACACAACTAGGAAATTCTTCAACTGCGCGCAATGATTTCTGCCATTTATATAGAAGTGAATTAAACAGCGAGGTCTCAGAGGGACTATAACTCCTGCTGACTGCGCCCCACAGTCACGAAAAGCAAAATCTGCCAACTTCTAAGCCCCCTCTCTGCAGTCTCCATCCTCTGAAGACCCCCTGCTAAAACCTCTTCTTCCTCTGTCCTGATCCCGTTCAGGAACATTCAAGGCCTTCTCCTTAGCTGCTGTCCTCAATGTCTGTCTCGCACGCACGCACGCACGCACGCACCACACACACACACACACACACACACACACACACACACACACACACACACACACACACACACACACACACACACACACACACACCCCCAAATCCAGGACAGGAATGCTGTATTCTACATGTAGTACTTCTGCTGCTTCCAATAGTTCGATCCTGAGAGTGAAGGGGATGTGGAAGTGTGTTTTTTTTTACAGCTGTAGTATAATGGAGTTTGGTTGAGGTGATACAAGTCTTATTTAAGGTTTTATTGAAGACTCACTACCGTTTGTATTTGAATGCAAAGTTATCATTTAGTCATTTTATCTTTCCCTCTTCTGTAAGCATCCAACAGGCCCTACAGGGTCAAGCAGATGGTCACTGGTGGTCTGCCAACACTGTAAAAAACGAGTTTATTAAAAGTTATGGTGTTTTTTGTTTATGGTGTTTCTAATCTATTGGAGGAAGTCTTGAGGCCGTAAATGTTTACAGACTGTAGTTTGCATATTACTGCACGAAAAGCTTCTAAATACATCCATATTATTCCGTTTTATTTAAACCTAGACTGAGAGAAAACATGGACAAAACCAGGACCCTGAAACCGAAGCAGCTAAATTGAAATCCTTCATTCGTTTTTCCACCTGCTATTCTCCTACATCTCAAAATGTCTGCTGTAAAAGAGGACCTATCTTTTTGTTTATATGTAACATAATTGTTTTTCTTTAATTAAAAAAAAATTCTGTTGACATATTCCTCAAGGCAAGGCAAGTGTATTTATATAGCACCTTTCAACACAAGGCAATTCAAGGTGCTTTACAAAAATGAAAGACATTCAGACAAAGGCATTTAAAAACAGTCAAGTCATCCTTTCAACCGATTTCTGACGTTTACAGATTTCCATGCTGATAGATTATCAAATACATGCTGTACTCCATGTTGCATTATTGCTGAGCCTGTAACTCTTTGTGTGGTGTTCTAGTGCGACCTAGTGGTCAAAAGCAGAACTGCAGCTGGTGGCTGTTTAACTTCATGTTAACTGGATAGGATTAGAAAATGAATTCCTGATCAATACAGACAAAAACATTAAGATATCTTAAGATGTTATGATAATGGTGAAAGAAGGAGTGAATGAGGGCTGTATTACTGTTATGGTCACCGTGCTGGAAAGTCACCACCAAGTTATATAAGGAAGTTATGGATGTTGCATATATTATTAAAACAGTATAAAAGGTCAAAAAATAAAGAAAAACAATACAATCATTAAACCTAGATTCTTAATCCTTAATGTCTACAATAAATTGCATTAAAACATGTACGAGAAGTACTGTAAAATACAAAAGGAATCCGGATGAATACTTGGCTTCATGTCCTTCTATTCAGGTTTTTTTAGGTAGATGGTTATCACATTTAATTTGACAAACCATCAAATGTGATGCAGAGTTTGTCCTTAGTGACACAAAGTCTGTGCTACAATAAATAGTAGAGTACATAATACTTCACAATATTTTGAATTCACTGCAGTTCTCTTTGCTACATCAGAAAAAACAGGGGTAAAGTTAAATATCTGCACAAGACACATGTTGTCTAATCAAACATGACCCTGAGCAACAGTAGAGAAAATTAAATATCAGTGTCCCTCAAACAGGTGAGTTAAAACATATAACCACACTGCTCCTCCTGACCTAAATCCCATTTAGAGAAGAGCGGAAGATAAATATATATTTTTATTTTATTGATGGTTGCAAACAAAAGGCAGGGAGCAGATAGAGCAGCACTAGGGTGACATGTGTGTGTAATGTATGCTGATACATTGTGTGTCAATGCCTGCAGGACAGCGACCAGAAACATGCCTCCAGACCTCCAGACTGTCAGGACATCTGTCACTGCTGACAGTCATATGCTCTGCCATGTGTGTGTGTGTTTTACTTTAAGAGAGAGTGTGTGTGTGTGTGTGTGTGTGTGTGTGTGTGTGTGTGTGTGTGTGTGTGTGTGTGTGTGTGTGTGTGTGTGTGTGTTCTTTGGCAGCGGGTCATTCCAGAGAACATGGGAACAGCCGTGCATCTTAAACATTCATGTCTGGTTTCCTCAGTGGCAGCTTTTCTTTTTTTTTTCATCAAACATCAAAAGAGCTCAACAATGGCGGCCTTCATCGGGGTCACTAAGGACAATCTATATATTATAAAGCGTTTTTGCTTTTTCAGACCTTTTCACTTGATCCATGCTTTTTGGAAGTAAGTGAAGAAACACCAACTCTGCTACCAAAGATGTTTAGACATTTTCTGGTCAAAACGTGTATTACCTTGGAAAGAAATCAAATGTTTGGACTGTAAATAACATACACATACATTAGTGTTTAGTTATAATGCCCTTTCTTTCATTGAAAAAATAATTATTCTACAAAGAAGCAAATTTTGATGGGTGGATGCATGTTTAGTCTTGGGACACTAGGGGGCGCAGTTGGCACACACATAAAGTCCCACTTGAAATAAATATGGGGATGTTGAAGGGGTTTACAATGGTTAAAAAGAGTCAAATATTAAACAAAAATATCTAATTTAATATATATTGAATTTAAGATGACTAAGAAACGTAACGCAATGGTGTTATTTGATATGACTTGAAAAGAAAATATTTTATAGGCATACAAAAATGACATTATGCATCTTTGACAATTTCTTCCCCGAATGCTTGAGAACATATATTTTAAATAAAATGATTTTCATATCAGTAAAAAACTTCTTTAAAATTCAATTACTGAGATACACTGGATATTAATTATTTGGATATCCAATATGCTAATAAATGTGTTCATATATATTACTTATTGTCTATAACACCTACAGTGTAATGTATACCTGCCAATTAAATGCTGTTAAACCCTTCAACATTCAAGTGCAGTATCCTATAGGAATAGGTATTGCATTGTGTTTTGTACATGCATCTCACACAGGCCTATGTGACATGAGTGTGAGATATCATAACATACATCCTGTAATACTAAGTGGGAAATGTACACTGATAAAAATACTACTGTTTTGGCCCCAACAGAGCAGTGTTTGTTGGATACACTGTGACCATTACCAAGTCAGCTGATACATATACTTTAACACCATCATTGTATATTTGACTGGAAATGATGACACGAGATCAAGTTATCATCCATTACTCCAACTAGAAATTGATGCACCTTCCATCATTGATCAGTGAGTCCTGTTGTGTAAATATGCAGCATAGTGTCATACAAATATATAGGCACATATCAATTATGCACAAAGAGGTCACTGAATGCTTGGAAGAATATAATATGAATGTGGATTCTATCTGCCCTCACAGTGAGCAGGTTTTAACCCAAATCTACAACCACAAGAGATTTTGCATCAACAAGTTAAGATGGCGCTCTCCTCTGCCACCATCACAACACCGAAAGAGGGAACACATGCACATCCCTCTCATAAAGACAACTAATTTAACCAATGTTAAGGAGCTATGATACCGTTTTAGAAGCTTGTGTTATTGATGAGGTTAGTCAGGAATACAATGATTATGTCCTGGAATGATTGCTATTGTTGTCTTCATGTCCAACAACCAAACCGAGGGGTTCAATGTCTGACATTTAGGAATATTCGAGAAAAGGGAGACACAACTATAAATTGTACTATATATATATATTTGTATGCATGTTCCTTGTTTTAGTAGCAACAGCAAAAGTTAAATTACACTAGATAATGTCCCCTTTTAGTAATTGCAGCATATTCTTCCCAAACATTCAAATATCACAATGTGTCTCTTAGTTGTCTCTTAGTCCAAGTAGTTCAACCTGCAACATACATGAAAAGCGTTTGCTAACTGCTTTTATTTTGAAAATGACAAAGGCTGCACGATAAATAAATGAAACATCTGTTCTTTGTATTTGCTGCTGCTCATAGATGGAGAGCCTGCTGCTGCTGTCTTTACATTACAGGGGTTTCCCATTCACAAAGAGAGAGAGAGAGAGATGGGGGGGAGGGGGGGAGGAGAGACTGAGAGAGAGAGAGAGAGAGATGAGACTCCTCTTCCTCACTTGGCTGCATTCGGTTTACCGACACCGGAGAAGCGACCATGCTGTGGAAACTAGTTGAGAATGTCAAGTATGAAGATATTTACGAGGTAACGTTTCCGTCCGTCTGTTTGTGCTCAGCAGGATTTATTACACGCTTTTTTTCTGGGGAATAATGCAGTGTTGAGATAACTGAGGTATTGCATGAGGCTTTTTGAGGCCTGATATTCTGTGGTGTGCTGGGTGTGAATATGAATTGGAGGAAATGTAACGACAGGACAAATTCGTTATGACCGATATTTGATTTGATGTGTGGTCCATTTTTGGTCAAATGTGTTGGTATTGTGTTGCTAGGTGTACGTCCACTCACTTTCTGGATCATGGTAAAACGGAAAATAATATTTTTTGACAGTGGATATAAACTTATTGTGTTTTTAAATTTCTTTAATTTTGATGTATATATTTTAAATACGGGACTGCGCAAAAATGCAAAAATAAAGTTTATGAGCAACGTTAAACTACTTAATTAAAATAATAATTTACCTCTTAAATTATTATTTTTAAGCTATTTAGAAATAAAAAACAGTGACGCATCCAAAAAAAGTCAATTTTAGATTTGAAAATACCTCCTAATAAATATAAATAGAAGCACTGGGTCAGAGTGTTTGATGATGTGTCAGAAGTATGTAAATCATTTGGCTTTGATCCAAGAACAATTATTTTTTTATTTCAAACAAGCGAGGGAAGAAATACCGCAGCACGCGGGGGTGAAATAGTGCTCCGGCTCGCGCTCAATGGGCTCGAGCACAAAAGCTCGTGAGGCCCCTCGTCTCAGCCCGGTGGGAAACCCTTGTCTCGTGCCGCACATGGCTTTTCTCCCACGGCGCGAGGGAGGGGAGGCTCTAATGTTGTTAAACAAGTCATCCAAGAGAGAGGGGTGGGGGGGTGGGGTGCAGTGTACAATATAAAGTTTAATCGCTTCTTTTGACTCGTGACACCATTCACGCGAGCCCCTCGTGCGCCCTGTAGTGTCTCGGGTGTGTGTGTGTCAAGAGGCAGCTGCAATGAGACACCGTTTATTCAGCGTGTGTTCTTTAGTGTGTGTTGTGGCAGGATGAAGTTTAGCTTAAACACATTGGGAGGATTGGAGAAAAATCTTCATAAGTAACCACCTTTGTGCAGGTATAAGATAATATACTATAGTAATTTTGTGTAACATCAAAGGAAGAACAATGCATTGTTCTTGCATCATAGCAGCTCCATTTGCAACATCAAGAGTGACAAATATTAAAACAAGAATACAAGAAACCAGACTTATTAAATAACATTACAATCACTGAGGGCGCGATCAAGATTCTTTAACGTACAAGGATCTGGAATCAAGCTCTGTATTTAGTGTAGGATTGGCTGGTGCACAAAGAGTGCTTCAGTCTAACTTTTTTAAATATTGGGACCCTGTATCTCGGATTGAATGGCAACAATTCATATTCACTGTTCAGGACATGGCTGGGGTTGGAGACAATGTTGTTTGCAAATCTCAATATTGTATTATGGTAAGTTGGTTCGGAGTTTCTCAGAGGGTTGCACAGATTGGTGAAGCAGCTTTGCTTTGGACCAACTCTTGTACCATGCTTTGAAATACTGTAGAGCACTCAAAATCACAGAAAGAGGAATTTTTCAGTATGTTGTGGCTGTGGGTAAAAGTAGAATGGCTTTTACTTTGGTGGCTACATTGCATTGGCAGGATAATGTATGTAATGTATCACAGATGCAATCTTAATGTCATGGTTAAACACCATCTTCTGTTTAAATTGTTACATCTGACAACTGGATTCATGTTGGTTTAAAACGTCAAAGTCTGTCTGCAGTGATGGTGTGTGCCAAAGTGTCTCCAACGGCGAGAAAGCGAGTATTCCCGGCGTCAGATTTGTACTTATATGAAAAAGCTCCCAAAGTGCGTTTTTTTTAATAATGAGGAATTCCTCCTGGGTGTGCTCGCCCTGTTCGCTTTCTCCTGACAGAGGGCTCTCTCCGTCTCGTGCTGTTCGCGTCGTTTCGCCTCTCCACGGAATCTAAACGTCACTCACGGTTGCGCGAGAGGCTTCACGCTCCATGTGTCGCCAGTCCCCTGCCTCGCACACATTAATATTCCTGTAAGTCTCAGTCATGAATAACAATTACACCGTATACCGGGGGTAGAGGCGGTGCTCGGTGGCTCACAGTCAGAGCGACGGCTGCTCGGGGCGGAGAAGGATTCTGCTCACCGGCCCTGCCTGCAGACACTCGCTTTCTGGAGCCAACACTTTACCATCCAGCTGTTTTATGTTAAATGTTCAAATGTTAGTTCACTCCTACTCCACCGCGGTGAGTTTCCTTCCCTCACAGTGTGTTTATTTATACTCTGTTTCGTCTTGCACTATTTTTATTGTTTTATGCCTATGTCTATTTATGTTGCATTGTTGGAGGAGCCTGGGATTTAAGGTTGTCATTGCCATAACTACACTGTAGGTAATGTGCATATGACAATAAAGCGTTTGAATCATTTGCACAAATCGGTAGAGACTGCTCGGAGGTTTTTCGTTCTGAGATTTAAATTAGACACATTTTGCTTTTTACATCTATTGTGTTTTTTGTAAAGGAGATTCAATGCCAGTTACTTTGGCTACATCACCAGGCAATATGCTCTTAAAATGCATCATGGACCATAGGCCTCTTTTTAGTTTTATTTCGTTATAAAAAGCTGGTTCCATTTCCGTATGGAGTTATTTATTCTGTGTTTTCCTATTCAAGGACCGGCATGACGGTGTCTCGAGCCACAGCTCGCGCCTGTCCCAGCTGGGCTCGCACGCGGGACCCTACTCCAGTGCGCCCCCGCTGTCTCACGCACCGACCTCGGACTTCCAGCCGCCCTACTTTCCGCCGCCGTACCAGCCGCTCGCTCACTACCAGAGCCAGGACCCGTATTCCCACGTCACCGACCCGTACACCCTAAACTCGCTGCACCAGAGCCAGCAGAGCGCGTGGGGCGCGCGGCAGCGGCAGGACGCGGTGGTGGAGCGGATGGATAGCTCCGCGCTGCTGGCACAACCTCGGGCGTCGTTGTCTCAGCTGTCCGGGCTGGACCCGCGGAGGGACTACGGTGTGAGGCGGCCCGATGTGCTAATGCACCCGGGCCTGGACGGGATGGGAGACGGTCTGCTGCACGGGCTGCACGGCATGGAGGATGTTCAGGTGAGGCAGAGGAATCTGAGGATTACATGAAATCGAAAAGTGAAAATTATGATGATTTTGTTTTTATTGTATAAAAAGTTGTTTTAAATATATTTGGATATCCCGAATGGTAAAACCTGCAAGTCAGGGAGCAACTAGGTCTGTTTGACAAAATGGGGAATACAGTTATATATATATATATATCAATATATTATCTCAATAGACGTGTATGCATTTTAATCATTAATTATACCCATTCCTATTTACAGTAAAATATGTATATACCTAACATATCTACTCTATATCTATCTCAATGGGTAATACTTGACAACACTGCTCTGTTACAAAAATAATTTCCCAATTTGGGATGAATAAAGTATCGTCGATTCACTCCAGGTATATGAACATTTGGATGGCAAATTGTTCTAGTTTTGGATGGCACGAAATAGCTACTAAAAAATAAACAGGAGAGGGATGGGTAATTGTTGGCGGTGGTCTCCTTCATTGTCTCGGTGCTTTAGTGTCGAGGTCAGTGATCTCAGATCAGCTCCCTCAGGGCTGAGCTCTCTGCAGCTGAAGCCTGAACACAAATGGCCCAAAGCTAAACCAACTGTCTTCAGAGAGCTGAGACATCTCTGGTGAGAAGATGCTGAGACGGAGAATATTTCAAAAAGTGCTGCATGGAGCTCAAATGTTGCTTATGTGAATTAGAATTTAAAATCACCCTTCTTTACTGCCTTGTGTTGCCTAATGATTAATCCATAAGCCTTGAGGATATGCTGTTAATTGGTCATTTAAACATGAAAGGAAACAATTCAATGTCGTGCAAGCATGTTATATTTTTATTTTTTATCATTTACGATATTTTATTATTATTTGTAATTATTATAATTATATGAATTTATTATTATTAGTATTTATATTATTAAATCCATGCTCGTATTAATGTGGTTAGTTAATTTTTTTAATTTGAAGGATGTCATTTTTGGAGACAGAGACATTATTGTCATCTGTGAAAGATTTCATCTCCCTCTGTTTCCCCCTCAAGGCACAACCATCACGAATTGTTTGCCATTTAACCTCCACATTACATTCTCATTTCTGCCTTTACGTAGTTGTGTCATGCATTTATTAACCCCGTTTAAATTTGTTTTAACAAGTCCTATTTTATTTTATACGAGCGTGACAGCAGCAGGTCTATTCAAAGAGCAATCTATCTCGCAGGCTGATGAATGAGAGTGATGAATGAGGCTTTACATTTGGGAGAACATTATTCTCTATGAGTCACGTCATGATGAATAAAAAGAGGAAATGGATTATAAACAAGATGTGTTTGTTCTGTGGAAAACAGACAATGTTTCCCCTGCTTTTCGAGACCTTACATTTAAATGAATCCTGCAATATGTAGCAAAAAAATATAAATATACTTTTTTATTACACTCTGGATTCCTTTGTACGAAGCACACTATTATATTGTTATAATGGTTTGCACTTATTTTGGATATACCAGACTCTTGACGACACCAACGGAACGAACATCCTTGATCAATCAGTAATTAAGAAAGGTAAGACACAAACACACACACAAACACACCACGTCTCAGCTCTTAGATATGTTGCCAATAGTTCTACAATATGACAACAATGACTAGATTTACAAATATAAAAAATGTTCACCAAAAACAAAAACATAAATGAATACATATCTGTATTTTTACATGTTTTTAAAATAGACATAATAGGGCTGCTCGCCTATTTTGAGGTTCCTTTCGTGCCTGTACCAAATGAGAGGCTAATTTATGTTTGTCACATGACGTAAATTACAATGATTTATGTTCTGTAGAGCCAATAAAAAAAAGGCACAACTTGGATCTAAAGTGGACCAGATGTGACATACCTCGATGCTTTGGGAAGTAAAAGGTGGATCTCTGTGGGTTCATCCTGTTTTTCCGGTGCCCAGGCTGAGGATTTCGTGCATGGGTTAACGATCCCGGTATATTGACTCGCAGGCGGAGGGTCGCTGATGATGTGCGGTGATTTAGTTACGGGATGTTGAGTGACTGAGCTCCCCGCGGGGCATTTAAGCCGCTGATGTAATAAATGACACCGCTCACGGAGATCTCGTGAGCTCGTTTACAGCTAATCTGCGGTATTATCCCCCGTGGAGCCATCAACCCCCCCCCCCCCCACACACACACACACACACACACACACACACACACACACACACACACACTGTGCCCCTATAACACTGAGCCTGGACCCCCCCTGTGGCCCCCCTCCAAAAGTATAAATCTATGATAATGCAAATGTATGTCGCAGCAAAGACTGTGCTGTAACCTCGGCCAAAGTTAACAGGGATTTTTCCCCCATTCATTTAACGAAAATGGCAATTTAGTCATTGACGCAAATTCTGTCACACAAAAAAACGAAGGAATTCAATTTGAGAGCGAGAGCCAATCAACAATCGATACTATTGTAATGAGACATTAAATAACAGTAAATGCCCGGCGCGTGGGCACTTCATTAGGCCAGGGCTCCTTCCTGTGGTGCGCGTGGTCTCACGAGTATCTGTGGATGCTTTACTCGAGTATAGAAAGTACCAATACATTAATGTCAAAATACTCCATTACAAGTTAAAAAAAAATTACAATCAGCAAAATGTACCTAAAGTGTAAAAAGAAAAAGTAATCATTGTGCAGAAGAATAGTCTTTGTGTATATCATTATATTTACATAATGTGAAATTACTAGATAATATTGTTGCATCAAATAGCATTTTACTGTTGTAGACAAAGTTCTGATTGTAAAATTTGACTTTTTGTAAAAATATAAGGAAATAATTGGACTCTTTTGTGACCTAAAGAGTTAGTTTAATTTTTAGAGATGCTTTTTGGTAAAATAAGCCACAGCTGTTAAATAAAGTGGAGTAAAAGTGCACTATTTCCTTTTTAAGTGTAGAGGAGTAGAAGTATAAAGCAGCATACTCAAGTAAAATGTAAGTACCTCAAAATGGTACACAGTAGGCTACTTGAGTAAATGTTAGTTGCTTTACACCACTGGGTTTCACAACGTTTGACACAATAGATTAAAACTCACAGCCCCCTTTATGTTTGGAATTTTTTGTAAGATGCCTATCTTTCCCTATACTCTCTTATGTGTAGCCTATTCTGTATTTTAGTTTATTTTTAATACGTGTGCACTGCAATGCCTTGTTTGCATGCTTCTGTGACTGCATTTCCCAAATAGGTCTCAAAAAAAGAAAATCTCATTTGTTTTTTAAACGTTATGTAATGTCCTCTTTCAGTTCCCATGCCTCACAAGCACATGGGCTCCCTGATGCTCGGGAAGGACGGGCTGATGGGAGGCATCACCGTGAGCATTAACGAGGTGTTCTGCTCGGTACCGGGCCGCCTGTCGCTGCTCAGCTCCACTTCCAAGTACAAAGTGACCGTAGGGGAGGTGCAGAGGAGACTGTCCCCGCCAGAGTGCCTGAACGCATCCCTGTTGGGGGGCGTGTTGAGAAGGTACGACTGCAGCCTCAGAGCATGTTGACGCAGGGGTAACGTCTGGGTGGAGAAAAAGCGTGTGGCTTCTTAAATATGCAGAGGAGATGTTTATTAAACCCTGAGTTGAATTCAAAGGCATCTGAACTTCCCAGATTTTACGTAACATTAACACAATCTCTGGAGAACTTGATGCGGATAGAAACTAAAAAGACAACAACTTAAAAACATGCACACATAAATAAAATGTATATTCATTGATGTATATATTTGAACAGTGTAACCTAATTATATTGTTGTTATCTCATACTGTAACTTAATTATTGTATTTTGTCATTCTTATTTATCTTTGTGAGAAGATCTAACCTGTCCAATGTGTTTCAATTTGGATTTTTGAACTTATGGGAATATTGATAATTTAATTGAATGCCTTGTGAGAGAAATATGGCATATATGTCCTGGTTCTTTTATAAAGCATTTAACATGAATTATTTCTCAATTTTTCTACAGAGCAAAGTCCAAAAACGGTGGGAGATGTCTGAGAGAAAAACTGGAGAAGATTGGACTGAATTTACCTGCTGGAAGACGCAAAGCTGCCAATGTCACATTACTAACATCTCTTGTAGAAGGTGATTGCTTTACTGTGTTTATCCATAAATACAGAAACATAATCCTTACTCTGAGATTGATTAATGGGGAAGTTTGGCTCATCACCAACAACTACGCACGGCCAAAATACAGGATTGCAAAGTTCATGACCTTACATGTTGGAAGAATGAGACTGTCTTTCTCAAATGGCATTGAATACAAAGTAAATACATATTTGATTTTGAAGGAGTGAAGAGAAGAGGACTGGGGTTAGTGAATTAAATTAAATGATTAACTCATTGATTAGAGGCTGCAGCATGGGCCTAACCGGTTTAAACCAACATTTTCATTGAGTCAGATTTTCCTGATCCAGCGTAATATACAATTATATCAATATTTATTTCTACGCTTTCAAAAGACTTTTTTAGGATTATGAACACGTCTCAATTTTCAATGTGTTCACTCGTCTGCACAAAGCGTTATGCAAGAGCTCTCTTTTTTTTAATTCTCGATATTAAAACAGTTAATTTGCACCTATAGTTGACTTTTACAACAAAAATGTGGAAAAAATTACCATCACCATTTGCTTTCTCTGAGAGGATGACAGCTTAGGGAATTTCGTGCGTAAAAGGAAAGCATCCCAGTTTTAACACGTAAAGTCTTTCTATTCAGGAATCGCTATAGGCTACTAAAACAGAAGGACATGCATGATTGTCATGTAGCGATATTGTACGTCTATATAAAATTCACCCCGACTATAACCTCACATATCCCCCCCCCCAGGTGAGGCGGTGCACCTTGCCCGGGATTTCGGTTACCTCTGCGAGACGGAGTTTCCCACCAAAGCCGTGAGCGAGTACCTCAACCGGCAGCACGCTGACCCCAACGAGCTGCACACGCGGAAAAACATGCTGCTGGCGACAAAGTGAGTCTGATGGACTGCTTGATTAGATTCAGCTCCCTCATAGCCTCCATACGCTGTTTTCTGTCTGTCATAGAATAGTATACATGTCTGATGCGCAGCATAGGAGATACCATGTGGTAAATAAGAGTATTGCTTTCATTTCAAATGAGCCATTTAGGTACTTAGACACAATAACATGGCGGCATGCTAATGACACATATAGTCAGTCTGTCAACACAGAGGGGAGAAACATGTTTTTGTAAGGACACAGAGAGAGGGGTTTTTCCAGTAAATTCTCAACAAAATGAATTTACGAAGAAGTCCTGTAAGTCTCATAATATATCTAGTTCATGCTGTTCTTGTATGAGATGTTATCCTAATTAAATGTCCCAAAAAAATATGGTTTTAGGTTTACAGTTCCAGGGTGCCATTTAGAAAGGCTGTGGTTGCTGTTAATTTGAATTACATAACCGTCACACATACAGGGTGAAAACGTGCTTCTTCTGCAAGTAGTTACATTTATGATGAATGAAATTATTGTGAAATTAAACTCTCCCCCATTTTCCTGGGGGCCTCTCTATGGCCCCCTCTTTAATACCCCCGAGGGTGCAAACCTCTCCTCTGCGCTTCACTCTATATCACACAGTCCATTTTGACACAGTGAGCCATGGCATTGACATTTAAAGAGGAAAGGGAGATTTTCTTAATGAAAAGCATCAAACTCTATATGGATCTAACCTGTAACGTAATGACTGATTGAAAAACCACAGAGGAAATTGAGGGCAGTTAAAGTAATTTCAACCGTTTACGAAATTAGGATCAATCTGCATTTGAGTCAAGAATCTTAAAAGCAAGGGGATTATTTTTGCCACATAAATAACGTTTTATTCAAGTATACACAAACCTTATTTGATGGACACTTTAATGTAGCCTACATAAGTCTCAGACATTATTAAATCGCAGCTTTGACGTTGCTTGTGTGCATTTGACCTCTGCTTCTGGTCTTAAAGGCGATGGATTTTACTGGCTCTCCTCGTAGAGGTACTTATATTAATCCATTTTTTATGGCTGTTAAACTGTGGAATTGAATCCAGGATCTAGTGATTACTTTTAAAAACCGAGCAACATAGATTTTCTTTAAAGGGAAACTAGGCTAGGAGAGGGAATGTGGTTTAAATCCCAGAATCCCTTTGGATTTTTTCCTATTTTTAAAATGTTCAAAAAAGCCTTTCGCCAATTAATAATGAACAGTCCCATTCTGTGTCCATGTATTCCCCTGAATGAGTTTTCTGGATACAAAAAAAACGTTGCATGCAGAGCTGTAACAAAGAGCCCTTCAGGAAACTTGTATTTTTAGCTTGCATAAATAGTGCTGTCTGCCTGTGTGTGTGTGTGTGTGTGTGTGTGTGTGTGTGTGTGTGTGTGTGTGTGTGTGTGTGTGTGTGTGTGTGTGTGTGTGTCCCAATGTGATCAGTATGTACGGTGTGTTTCGGTGGTGGATGTTTGATGCTCAGATTCAAACCTGTTCCAATACTCGGTGTCGGTGCTGCCTGTTAGAAATTCATTATTTAGCACTGAAGTGTTTCAAGTCGTCAGAAAACAACAGCGAGGCCCTGAGAGTCGCCCCGGGTGGAGCTCCTCCTCTCTGTTTCTCCTCTCTGCTCCCTAACCCCAGCTGGGCTCGGCCTGCACCGCCTGTCACTCATTTAGTGGAGCTCAGCCCTAAGGCCGCTCATTGGGTGTGTGTGTGTGTGTGTGTGTGTGTGTGTGTGTGTGTGTGTGTGTGTGTGTGTGTGTGATTAAAATAGCCCAATTGCTTTTGCAAAAAAAAACATTGTATGTGTTTAATTGAATAGGAAATGAGTTTAATGTTAGTGGCAGGTTGTGTGTGAGAAAGAATAAATAAGACAGCCCAATATTTAAAAATAAATAAATAAAATTTGTGCAACTTTCCGCATATTTCGCAACTTCCCGCAGTTTCACCGCATAAAATCACATAAAAACCCTGCATGTTTAAATCGCATAATCAAGGATTTTTGCCCGCGTTTTTCTGAAGTGCAAATTAAGTAAAATGCAAGCTCTTCGAAAACACTTTGGTCTACCATTACATTACATTACATGTCACTTGTTAGACGCTTTTATCCAAAGCGACTTACATACTCAATACTGTGGACAATCCCCACACCATCACTTACAATCAGAGCTGGAGCCGATTAATAATTGTGACTACAACAGATTGCAGATTGTAACTTTTGCATTAAAGAATCAATACAGTTGTTAGTGTTTGTTCGTCGGGTGGCTTTAGTTAGCCTAAAAGGCTTTTATTGACTTACCTCTTCAGGTCAGCGGTGCTTACTGCCTCATAGCAGATGGGGCACTTGGACCAGCTCTTGTCACCAATAGAGAGGTAGTGCAGCATGCACGGCCAGCAGAAGATGTGTCCGCACTTGGTGATGCGGGCGGTCAGAGGAGGGTAGAGGCAGATCGGGCAAGACGGCACCTCATGACTGTAGATACGCTGTAGACGAACACAAATGGATTGGATCACGTGCATTAGTATATAAATGAATAACCTTCATTTCCAATACACACATCTTAAAAGAGGACATATTCTCACCACTTGCTGCACACAGTCCCAGTTGACCAAAGTATCTGGATCAGTGAAGTGACCCTTGTAGTCCTGGTCATCAGACACCACGAACTGGCAACTGAAACACACAACATTTGGTGATGCCAAAGGCTAAGGTAGGAATGCAAAGGTGGATTGGCCAATCGGCAAATAAGGTGTGTATTTGTTTTAAATACTTGGCCTGCAGAAAAAGCTCCTTGTTGAAGGGCTTGTGCTTGTGGCCCCATTTGTTTCGGCGGCCCCAACCAGAGTTGCCTCCCTCTCCGATGCCACCGAAACCTCCACGAGGTTCAAAGGTAAAGTTCAGCAGATGGTTGAGGCTAACTTTTTTAGGTCCAGCAAACTGAGCCGGGCTAAAGTCTGCCCGGCAGGTCTCTGCTACCTGTGGAGGCAGAGGTGGATATAATTCTGTCAACCAAGTTCGAGCTTTAAAGTGTTTTATTTTATGACTTGCTCCTTAAAATGTTGTTGTTTTTTAGTAATTAAGAATACCAACCTCCTCACGTCGTCCTCCACCTGCAACGCCATATTGTTTTCCTCCACCTCTCTGGGCGGGTCTCTTGTCAAAGCTTTTGCTTTTCTGTGAATTGGTGTGACGAGGGCCTTGAACATTTTCGGTTTTTGGAATAGCAGGCTCATGCTTGCGGCTGTAGCGCTTGGAGCCTCCATTATTTTTACTTTCTGAAAAATAACATTAAAATGCATTAGAGGCAGGTATACACTAATATTATGATATAATATAACATCTTCATTTGGCTGATGGAAACCAGAAAGTGCTGGAAGAAAAATTGAATATGGATTACTTTGTAACCTGACTTCATGCAGGTGCGTCAATTTACCTAATGATCTACTACTATCATTAGTGTAATGGGTAAAAGTTAGGCTTTTTTTTACTCTTTCACACAAATAAGTGTGCTTATGGGCAACCCACAAACAGTATATTGCAGAATATAACACCATTTAATTCAAAGTAACAAAGATAAACCTTCTGCATTTCATGCATTTTCTAGCTTCATGATGGAGTGTTCACGATTTTGATTTAAGGCAAGGAACAACTTTCACTAAAAGGACCTAAATGAGAAATGGAAGTGATTTTAAAAAGTCTGCATGAACTTATTTAATCGTGTCGAAAAATGCAGGCACGGCCACATAGTCGGGTTGATGTGTTCATTAAACATCTATGTTAGCAAGGATGTAAACATATATTTATTCAGAAGTTGATAAAGGACAGCGTCTCTGCATCACTGCTTACGACAACTGTGGAGAATACAAACTGGTAAATACACTGTTGTTTGCAAATGTTAGCTGTTCTTCTGCCTGTTACAGGGCCAAATGTTTTGACAGCGACGTCAGCCACACCAGATAAACAATCTCTGCGCTACGGCTAGGCCCCAGCAGGCCACAGTGTGTCCATATTATGTCAGACTTCCAGTGACATCAACATTGTGGAGGGTTCTCACCTGTTTTGGGTTTAGAATCGCCCGGTGTCGGGCCTGTGGAGCTGGACCGGGGCGGAACCTTGCTGTTGGGGTTTTTCTCCATGTTTGTCTCCGTGAAGTCCGCGGTACAGGGGCCGAGCTGCGGGTAGAGAGCCGCCGAGCTCTCTAACGCCACACGGGAAAACAAAGGGAGAAAGCGGGCTGTGAGTGCGGGTCAGGCGACGAAGGCCCTGGTGCATTTCTGTCAAACGCGGATAACCCATTACGGCGACATCTTGACAATAAACAATCCGAGAAAAAAGAAGAGACACGATTTCGGCGTCTCAAGTTATGGGGGTTGCTGGTGGAGAGGACGAAAGCTCAACACGCGGGGCCAACACCCCCCGAGTTTAGGTTGTTTACTCGGTAAGGGAAACAAAATGCCCTTAACAAGGCGGCAGATGTTTTCCAAAGGCTGGAAAACACGACAATTGGGAGATTTTCACCAAAAAAATATATCCGTTAGGGAGCTTCTACTAATGGCGACGGGTCGCCAGATAGAAACCTGAGAGACCCGGATGTTTCTTGGACAGTTTGCAAAGCTGTCTAGTACAGGCCCCGCTAAGCATTGTGGGGAATGTAGTTATAAAAGTTTCGGCTATGTGGGTACAAAAAACAAACATGGGTAAATAGATAAAGGAGAAATGAACGAGGTATTTATTTAACCACTGATGCCACATAACTTAGTATATTTACTCAAATACTGTACTTTAATACAATTCTGAGGTACTTGTAATTTAATTTAGTATTTCCATTTATTATTATGCTGTTGTGTGATTCTACTCCACTACAATTCAGAAGTTAGTTGTGTACTTTTACTCCACTACATTACCTAGTTCCTTTAGTTTCTTTGCCGATATGGATTAATGATAAACAATATTATCAAAACTGCTACTCAGCAGTAAATAAAATAATTTAAATGTTGTCCACCTTTACAAACTTGATAACACATACATCAGATTATAATGAAAACATAAAATACATATGATTCGGAAATTGGCATATCTACATAGCGAGTACTTTAAGTATATTAAGATGCTAATACTTTTGTACTTTTACTTGAGTTACATTTTTAAAGCAGGACTTTTACTTGTAAAAGAGTATTCTTACACTTTGTTTTTAACCCATGTAAGAGTACTAATACCACAGCGTTTAAGTATTTGGACTTGGGTACAGGTCCTGCATTCAAAATGTACTTTTTACCTGGCTGGAGTAAAAAAAAAACATTCTCCTTACATGGTTTGATGCAGTATTGTCAATATTGTTCAAGGTTATGCAATATCGAAATAATCTAAATGTCTGTGCAGCCTTCAGAACATATTTGTACCATTCGTTTTATGTTATCATTTTTTTGACAGCATACAACATCATCAAAAACAGTGCTTTTATTTATACAAAAAAACAAACACTTGAGCACAAAACATAGTATAAATAACAAAAATTAAAAAGTTAATTAAAGCACAAAAACTCGGCAGGGTTACCTCTGTGCCTCTATTGAAGACAGGCATACAGTCAGTCAGTTTTCTTGGGTATCAAATGTGCTGAGCAGCTGCAGCAGTGAACAGTTTTTCCACAGAGGTGGGTATGCATTTCCTTAAATGCTTAAATGTCCCGTAACAAAAATAGTCCGCCTTTTAAATCCAAGTGAGTGAAGTCACTACTCTTCTTCTTCTTCTTCCTCTTCTTCATCATCGTCGTCATCTTTTTCACTCTCTAATTCATCTTCAAATGCCACCTTGTTTCCTCTTGTTAGAGTGCAGTTCAGAATTGCTTTCTGGATCTCTTGTTTTTCTTCTACAAATGAAAAAAAGGAAACCGGTCAAATAAATGTTTTATTTCTGTATTTTGGATGGCTTGAAGTTAATTGCAGTAGACTCTGATAAAGTCAAACTGCAATTAAAAATTCAACAGATGAAGCGAAGTGAAATGCTTCAATACATCTGGTAAAACAGATTCCTTTTCAACACCGTTGTTAATCACAATTTTAGTAGATGATTAGTTAAAAATCACATGAACAGATAAATCAATCAGGGGACCTCTACTGACTCTCATTGCAGAGTTCAGTATGAATGACATTAGATAGAATTGTACAAAATCCCGTACCTTCGTTTTTACATTTAGGGATCATTCGATGGAGCTGCTGGGTGTTGTATCGGATCAGAAACTTCTGACATGTTCTTATTGTTCCTGGAAAACAAAACACAATTAACAAGTGTATATAATAAAGTTATATCTAATCATTATAAAGATGAGTGTCCATGTTTTAACTTACCTCCCACATGCAAACAGTTCAGAAAACATGGGATTTTCTGCCCACGAGTTTCGATACAGGTGATGAAAGGCAATGCAGACCAGAGGAGTCTGTAACATCTCTTGGGGAAACGCAGGAATACTATTCCAGTATGAGCATTCAGATATTTCACTAAAAAGACATAAAATAAAGAGAAGACTCAGAGCTCAGGCAACACAAAGCTACAATATCCTACAATGTTTTCCTCTACATCAAAGAAAAAGTGACGAAGCTGAGAACTTGTAATGCAAAAACTTACAATATGTTCATTGTGCATGATAGAATAATTGTAAAATGATTTCTTAGTTTGTGCAATTTTGTTTTGAACAGGAATCATTGCTTGAATTGTACAGCACTGAGTTGATCACCAAACCCTATTTTCTGTAATACACACACATTGTATACAGTTGAGGTGCATGTTGGTTTAAAGTTGCAGGACATCTAATGTGTTATGTTCAGTGGTATAAAGTAACTAAGTAAATTAACTTAAGCACAGTACTTAAGTACCATTTTTAAATACTCTTTCTTTACTTAAGTTTTAGAGTATTGAAATAGCCTACTTTGTATTTTTACCCCACTATAATTCAGAGATACACTTTTTCTTCTACTAAAATGTACCTTTAGTAACTTTGCAGACAACACTCAAAAATACTTTAGTCACACCTGGATTAAAACTCACAAGCTATCCTGCAGTATACAAAGTAATTCAAACTAGCTGGACCTTTACCAACATTGATAACACATTAATGCATCAATATTTATAATCAAAACATATCATATATTCTGAAATTAGCCGATCTGCATACTTTCATTTGAGTAACATTTTGAATGTATGACTTTTACTTGTAACAGAGTATTCCTGCTCTTTGGTACTTTTACTGAAGTACAAGATCTGAGTAGCCTACTTGTCCCACCTCGGGTTATGTTTTGTTTTTTTAAAGTAAAGATTTTAAAACCCTTACCAGAGAATCTGATGCTGCAGAGAGCCGCTCCATAGTCTCCGTGCATGCGGGCCACTGCTGCCCTCACTGCCGCTGCCACAGCTCGGTCATCCAGTAGCAACAGGCGGGCCCTGTCTGTCACGTTGATTTCGCACAGTAAATACCTGTAGGCAGAAGACAACCCGTCAGAAATTGGATTGAGAGCACATAAACAGTGTTACAATGGTAAATGAACAGCACGTTTTACCTAGACTTGACACGAACCATGACGGTCTCTCTCTTCTTCCGTGGCGAACTTCCGTCAACAAAACGATCTACCACCAGCTTGCACTAGAGCGCCACGTGCAGGAGGTTAGAGGCTATGCTGGGTGTACTTGATAATAGACACTGGGCCGCACGATTTCAGATTTGTCTATTCATGAACACACTTTCTAATGGGAATATTTGTTGTACTTTATATATTTTAGATTAACGCAAGTTTATACTTTTACTCCACTACTTTTATTAAGCAGCTTTAGTTACTTTTCAGATGTTGCATGTATGAAGAAGATACAACCTTGTTGAGAGCCTTGAAAGGCGCCTTCATAAATAAAATGTATTATTATTATTATAAACTTTTTATATACTGCATCTCTAAAATTAAACTAGTGGAATAACTGATAATATACTGTATATTATTAGAAATACTGTTTATATGTTTATATATATATATATATATATATACTGTATATATTTATTTATCACATATGGAGGACCTTTCTCTGCAGATTTAGTACTTGTTGTACTTTACATATACTTTGCTGACAATACGTGTCTACTTTTATTTAAGAATGTAGAACTTTGACTTGCTATGGAGTATTTTGACATGAATGTATTGCTACTTTTATGCCAGTAATTTCACATATATGATTGTGAAAAGGGCCTTTATGCACAACCAATACTTTTACTTACTTTAAGTATATTTTGATGCCAATACTTTTGTACTTTTACACGAGTAAGACTTTAAATGTACTTTCACTTGTAACAGAGTACTTTTACAAGTAAGTATTAATACTTTTTCTAAAGAAAAATATCTAAATACTTCTTCCGCCTCTGCTCACAATGCAACCAACGGGGTCATTTTGTTAGCAAGTGGTGGGGACGATTTCTCCAGATTTAACATCAGCATAGCAGAAGACAAAGTATGTCCCTCCCCTGGGTGTTGAACCTCGAACACCTGCATGAAGAACCAATACATAGACCTCTGGACCACCAATGTGTTTTTAAACTAATGAACGGCCAATTATAAGTCTTGCTGTGATGTGATTTGGAGGGAATTTGTACCTTTATGCACATAACGAGTACACAGGTATGGAGGACAGAACATGACATGAGTACAAAATAAATATAGGAATAAATAAACACAAGAAAACATTTATAAATATGGAAATATTAATGGATAAATAAATAAATAAAAGTTGAGAATAAAACAGAACATACATTATATATCTTTAATGTATTTCTATGTATTTTTTGACTTACATTTATATATTTATTAATTTCTACATTTATATATTTATTCATTTCTGTGTGCGTGTTTCACAAAATGTTACTTTGCTTGGCAGCCTTGCATTCTTTGGATAAGACAATATTTGTAACATATGTACTTTCAATTGCTCTGAACATTTCAATAAGTGCAGGTGTCTTTAAGTCTTTGAGTTTCTATCATATTTTATTTCACTTCCTCTGACCAGTCCCACTTTTATTTGGAAGTGTTGTGTCAAGTTGTACACAGTGCAAGGAGAGACACCACACCATGACTTTTTTTCCTCTTCAATAAATATTTTTCAAGGCTTACAGAACCGGGAATTTCCAGCGTATTCATGTTCTGTATAAACTGTAAAGCCCCCTGAGACAAAAGTATAATTTGTGATATTGGGCTGAATAAATGCACTTTGATTGACTTTGATTGATTGATTTGGCGCAAGAAGTACTTCACTCCAGAGCCATCAAGAGCCAGATATAAATGTTTATTAGCGTCAAAAATGGTGTTGCATATTAAAGGTTTTTCTACTAACTAAAACTCAGTAACAGGAGTGTAAGGAATGGGATTTCTAACAGGTCATCTCCACTAGCAGTGAGAACACGCACACATATTAACAAGCAGCACAATACACACTAGGATAAATCAACATGAGAATTGCATTTCTGGGATTGAACCCACCACCTTCTGACTCAAAGACAATAGCTCTTCCTCTCAGCCACAGCCTAATTATGGGCTGTTGTTCAGAAATTACGAATTGTTGTTAGAATGGAGTTTTTTTAATGAGAAAAAACCCCTGAAGTTTGGTAAAGTTTGAAAGAAACAGAGGCTTAAGTCCAGTTTTTTTCCCCACACGTCCTGGTAGCCTTGGATTTTTCTGGAACAAATTTGAAAAATGGATGGTTACTACTGGCGATGAGTTCAAACAATGTTCTTTAACAATATCTTTGTGTCACCTTGTAACCCTAATAAACGTAGAACCCAATCCTGTCAAATTTGACTGGAATATACGTGTACTGGTGCCTTTTCTTTGGCTGAAGGGATAAATGGAGGCCTAACCAGAGGGTTGGTGGTTTGCCTCCCAGCATGGCAAAGTGAAGTGGGAGACGCCCCTCCCCCCACATCTCAGAGGGACCTGAAAAACATTAATAATAATAATTCAATCATAAAAAATGTAGGGATATTTAATTCACTAAAACTAAAAGGCCCAAACAAATAAATATTAAATAATACTAATTATTATTTAATTATTATTATTATTTTAAATGTATATTATTAAGTGATACAAATAAGAATTAAATACATTACTTTTTAGAAATATTTTAAAAAAAAATGGTATATTGAATTAAAAAATGTTTTGCAAAAAAATAAATTTAAATAACAATTACAATATTGGTTTATAAATGGGGACAACGATTTCTGTTTGCTGCTTTAAGAAAGAAACATGCACAAAGGTACAGGACTTTTTATGTTTTAATTTATTTTATGATCTTTGTGAGTTTTTATGTTTTGAGAGTTTTTGTGTCCTTGCCAGCCTAAAGGCGACACCCCCTACCTCCGAGGGACACACAAAAAAAGCACGAATGACGCCTATACAATCCATTTAAACCAAGAAACGGGACATCCCGGTCTTTAAACAGTTCGCACCCTTTCGGTAACTATGACAATCTCCGTCCTTCTCAGCCAATCAAAACCTTACGTTTTTGTCTCTCAAACACGTTATACGCCATCTTGAAAACACACCAGCAGTTTGTTAAGTCGCTCTCAAACAAAAAAAAGGACAAACCACAACAACTCTTTTTTTCGCAGCGTTAGTGTCCGTTATGAATGGTTCACGAAACAAACCGGCACCGACAGTCAGTAAGAGTCAGACGGAGACAGAACCCGGCTCGGAGGCGAGGGAGAGAAAGAGCGGTGGAGGAATGCTGAAGAAGCTGAAGTCAAGGCGCAATCAGCCGGACAAGTGGCCTGTGGTCACCGAGGATGAACTGCGGGCTATGGGGAAAGATATTACCCCAGACAATGTCCTGGGTCTCCGGGCAGTCACGGAGGGTGAGTTATGAAAGCATTGTCTTAGTTAAAGCCGGTAAAATAACACTGCTGTACTGGTACCATTTTACCCTATGCTAACGGTGGCTAAGTGAAGAGTCGACCTGTTGACTTCTTAGTCCACTAATTTCCTGAATCACATTGTTAGTTAGTTAATTTGTCACACAGGTTACTTTATGTCTAAGTTAACTATGTTTTGTGTTGTGCTGTGCATCTTTCCTATTTGTTGATAACCAACTAAGTAGGAGGTTTCCAAGAGCGTAGCAAGGAATTTGGAGCCCCCCCCCAGAAGGGATTTGTTCAGAGCCCCCTGTCCTTAAAGCTGTATTTAAGGATTTCTTTAGCAAACTGGAAAAGATAAACTGATCAACTACTGTCATGTGAAGTAGTCATGGCTCATGTTTAAAAATACAACAACAAGTCTAATTAATTTGCACGTATTCTTCTTTCTAAACAACAAATGCAGGTGTATTCACTAAAAGCTATGTTTTTTTGTCACTAGTGCAGCTTTAAGTAATGGATTCTGATGTTTTTGCCTTTTAATCACCTGGAACAGTCACTTTCTTCCACACACGAGTAAAACACCAGTGTTTGGTATTGGAAACCCAGACTACCAAAGTTGCAGCTAATGCTTAACGCCTTCCATTGTTTTTAGCCTTTTCCCCGGACCAGACAACAATGGCATTACTTCCCTTCTTTCTCACAAGACTTGACTGAATAGCCGTGAGCCTGCGCAGTGGAATTATTCACCACCACTGCAAGGTGCAGCAACCAAAAAAAGATACTCAGACCCTAGTTTTTCCTTGAGTGCTGGCTCTATTGTCAAAGTAAGGGTGAACCTTTGTGGATCAAAGCTTTGTGACTTGCCTCAAAATTCCTCATGTAGGTATTAGTTAAGCTAATTAAATATCAAAGAATTGCCTCTGTTTGCTAGAGTGTAGTTCTGAAACTATAGGTCTGCTAGTCCTTTGTTAGAAAATAATCACTAAGTTCTTTAATAATAGGTTAACTTTTACAGGGGAAAAAAAGCAAATACACCCGTTTTTAGCCTTTGTTAAAAATCGAGATGTCATGTTTTTCTCTGTATGATATCATATTAAAGTGGATATGTTTGTTTTTGGACGGGCAAAATAAGACATTTAAAGACATAACCTCTGAACTCAAGAAACTAAGATGGACTTTTTTTACTTTCTTTTTATATTTTAAGAGACTTAAATTATGAATCTAACAAAAAGCCTTACTAATGGTTGCTTGCTCCCTATAAGACTATTGAACTCCTCTACTGAATGTCTGTTTCTCTGAAGTACCTCTTTTATTTCATATTCCAGACTATCTGTGCAAACCTGAAGACAATGTCTACAGCATTGACTTCACACGTTTCAAAATCCGAGACCTGGAAACGGGAACGGTGCTGTTTGAGATTGCCAAACCTCCTAACAGCGGTAAGTGACACATTTACATCTGCCTCTTGAAGATTCAACCATTCACAAAACTCACACAGTCTTGTTCATGGAGATGTGTTTCACTCAACATGATTCTTATGCAGCCAAACTTCTGTATAGTTAATAATAATAATAATAATAATAACAATAGATTTAATTTGTTAGCGCTTTTAAAGGTGCTCAAAGACGCTTTACAGATAATAGTGAAGAAAAAAGAAAAGAGAAGAAAGGAACAACAAATAAATATATAGTTAAAGTTAAAGTCAAATAATACAAAAACAATCACACATGAATAGCCAGATTGAAGAGGTGAGTTTTTTGAAGGTGGTGAGGTCGGTGCAGTCTCTGATGGGTTGTGGGAGTTATTGATACTTATTGATTGTCACTGGAAAGCTAGCCCTTGCTAAAAGGACCATTAGGGAGAAACATGTGTACAGACCATAGACTGTACTGTAGATCAGACACAGTGATTGTGCTCAGTTATAGCCCAGAGGTGTTGTTCTGTCAGTAAAGCACAGTATGACCAAGCGTGAGTACCGCAGTCTTTCCATACAGTCTGCTTTGTATATGGATCTTACCCTATTGTCATATGCTCTTCCTGGGTCGGGTTTACCTCCTAAAAATGTCAACATATTTGAATTGCATTATTTTTACTATTAAGTTAACGCATTCATTAAAATAAATTTAGATTTTAGAAAATATTTGGGAATCATCAGTGTGTCTTCTTGATTGATATCTTTTGACATTGCTCTTGCACATCACAGATAATAATAGTGCTTCATCTGCATACCCACATCTTTTCAGCCCAGTTTCTCCTAGCTTTGTTTCCTATCCTGTGATTATTTCATGTAGGACAGCTTAACATGTTTTCTGTTTTAGGTCCTCTGGACGGTGAAGAGGAGAGTGGGGATGTAGACACCAGCGCGGGGCGTTTTGTGCGATATCAGTTTACACCGGCCTTCCTGAAACTGTGCACTGTTGGTGCAACGTAAGTCAATTAACCATAACGCTCTGAATTGTAATAGCTGCATGCATAATAAGCAGACTTTAAAGTGCAAAACTGAATTGTGAATGTTGTCTTTCTTGTTTCTGTTCTCTAAACCTCAGTGTGGAGTTCACCGTGGGAGACCGGCCAATTAACAGCTTCCGTATGATTGAGAGGCATTACTTCCAGGGACGCCTCCTAAAGAACTTTGACTTTGACTTTGGCTTTTGCATTCCCAACAGCCGCAACACATGTGAACACATTTATGAGTTTCCACAGCTTCCAGATGACCTCAGTGAGTTTATTTTTCCTCAGCCAATAATGTTAATGCTGTTGCAGGCATGTACGCGTTGCCATATTGGAAATGCTTAGCTATCAAACTGGTGTCATAACCTTGAGTGACATTTATAAAAATGAATTAGTTAAAAGACTTTTCGGCATGCTGCACGACTGGAAGCCAGTTTTTTGTTACTGCCTTCATTTAAGGCCATAAGATACATTCATAAAATAAATAACTGTGTTCCCCGGTAGATTCTAAGTTATCTCCAATGCACATTTTCTTAAAATGAGCGACAGGAGAAGAGATGCATAAACACAGCCGTAAGATCCATACGTTGCTCCCAGGAAATGAATTAAAATAGGACAGACTCAAACCAACTACGGTACTAATTGTAAGTGTCACAAATGGTGGAATAATTAAATTATCTGTAAGGCTTTGTTGGCAGTCTGATGGTCTCACATTGTGCAGTGGGCAAAATGATCTTATGACAATTATCACACATCTGGAACTGTATACATATTTATACCTTATAGTTCATATCTTGATCTTTGTTGAAATATTTGTCTTCCTTCTCTCCCTGTCAGTTCGCCTCATGGTGGCGCACCCTTACGAGACCAGATCGGACAGTTTCTACTTTGTGGACAACAAACTCATCATGCACAACAAGGCGGACTATGCCTACAACGGCGGTCTGTAATACCTGAAGGGGAGAAATATTTGCGATATTCAGAGGGGGATTGCTTTCATCGCATTACAACCATCCAAAAGCTTTCTTTGGGGGCGGGGGGGCAGAAGTCATATTCTCTTTGTGAACATTCCCTCCAAACGTGACAACATTCTTCACAATGGACCACATCTGCCTCCGTACAAAATCATGGATCCATTCATCAGTACCTCATTGACCTCAGCTTCTGGGACTCTGAGGAATGTTCTGTCAAATATGTGTTTTGTGAAATCTGACTCTTTGCTCTGTCTTTTTATTTGTCATTCAAATATCATGTAACATTTTTGCCTTAAGTTTCTTGCCGTCTCTGCTGGAAAGGGACACTTTGAATCACAGACCTCTCATGGAAAAGCCTATGGGTTGTGTCAGTTATAACTCCATTTGCTTTAGTATATAGATGTTATCAGTTGATGTTTATTTGAACTACCTTTCGCTAGTGACAACAACTGTGTTTCCCATATGGAAGAACGAACATTAACTAGACGTTTTACAGTATTGTTAGTCAAGGATGATAATGTAGCACTAGGTGACATTGCTTGAGTTTCATTCTTGCTTAAATATCTCCTATCAGTTGTGAGCCATCTGGACTGTTTAGGTCAGATATTTAAGATTGGTGTTCATTTTACGAGGTACATTAGGTTGACCAATCTAGTCTTAAGTAGAAGTTTATTTTTGTTGAAGATAAGCATGAGCTCTTTTCATAATGTTAGGTGCAATATTTACCCTGCTAAAATCTGTTCAACTTTTCGTGACATAATTCGCTGTCAATTGGGAACATTTGTTATATCAAACTCTGCACACTTGAAAACACAAAAAGGTCAAGATATCAGCCTATTTGAGAGTTATTAGACTTGCTTTACATGCCATCCATTGCTAAAACAGCACTGAAAACAGTTTGAAACGGTAAATTGTGAACAAATTACACATAATTGTGTTTTATATATAATATTAAGTTTAATACTAAATAATAGCTTCAACTTAATACTATTGCTTTAAACTTACCTAATACAATTATGTGGAACCTGTTGACATAATACATTTAATTAAAATCCTTTTTTTTTTATTTCTCTGTGTTAAGTCTTCCCACGTTATTGTACTCCACAAAGCACACGTTTTTAATAACTTGTCTTCCTGGTTTATTTGGCACAATAGTATACTACAAATCCAACTCTTTTTGAGCAGAATTTGTCTAGCAGTGTGTTATACCTTTTAAACGGGTCGCTGTGTGTATCTTCTGCTGCTCTGAGCTCAGGTTCTCAATCTACTAATGATATACAAAGCAGGACAATACAGAGTGATGTTCTTTGGTAGTTGATCTTTTTTTTATTAATAAGGCAGCAGGACAGACACAGAAGTTGACCTGTTTTAAGGACGATACCGGTGGTTTTGCATATTGTTGGCCTACAAATGTTGAATGTCTATTAGTTACAACAGTTTTAATTTGCAATTAGATCTGTCATTTACCATTACTTGTTAATTATTTTCTAAATGTAAGAAAATATTGCTTTGATTAGCTGGTTCCATTTTTTTCTTTTCTTTCGGTACAGACAGTCAGGTGTTTTAGTGGCTGTCTGAAATGCAGAAAATAACACCTTGCAAATGGTCAGCATTGCTTTAATTCTATTATGCAATGTATTTAAATCATGCAAAACCACTGGAACAGTCTGGAAGTAATTTCCAAAACTCAAAAGCTCCTCTCACTGTACTTTGTAACATGACTCCATGTGCCTTATATCCAGGTGTTCATTGTTAAGTTGTTTATTGTGTAAGGAAACGTTGTACATCGTCCACCTGTAAGGCAAAAACGGCATTAAGCTGAAGGAAAGATAATTCATTTCCGACGTCTTGCAGTACTGCCTTTTGTGAAACAGGTGTCTTACAGCCTGCGTTGAGTCATTTTGTACATTCTTATTTTATCTTTGGGATTTTAATGTTTGAAGCATCAGTGACAACTCATGATGTAGCCCATTAATAACTCAAACAAGTGTTGTATCAGGCACACACTTTGAACAGCTGAAGCTTTTCAATGACCCAATACTACCACCTCAATTTATTTGACAATTGGACTCAATGGATGTATCTCAGTCTGCTGTTTTGGTTAGCAGCACTGGTGTTGCTATGCCAAACAGTATCGGTCAGCGGTATTTTATTGTAAAAAATGAAAATGCCTTGAGAAGAGGGTCCTATTTGTGTTTCTGCACAAAAAGTCTAATAGACTGTTTGGATCAATGTATGGATCATATTTGTAACCCGTTGCATAGACCCCTCCTTTTTTATTGTCTAATTTTACAAGTGATAAACTCATGTTCATTCAAATGTATTGTAAATAAAAATATTAGACTGAAAAACATTGAAAAGCTGGTGTTTATTTTGAGTAGATTATCAGGGAGTTTGGGAAACTTTTGTCTTTGTTTATCTAGATTAAATCAGCTGTATTGGTACCTTGGGAAAATACAGCAAATCATGCTGATATTAAATCTTGTATCATTTGTAAAAGTTGTTGCAAACTACATATATTGGAAAAATCATGAATATCAATTCATAGTCTTAAAATGAATGTCAGAAATTTAAAATGGAAAATGTATGACATTGTTTTCATTCTTTTTATGGAATGAACATTATTGCACAGCTTGTGGTTTTGTCCTTGTAAATACAATAAATAAATTGCCTTGAATTTTTGTTTAAAAAAAGTTGGTTTCTTGAAGTTGTATGAAGAAAGTGATGTATATAGACACAAATAGCCAGTTTCTGTCAACACAGTTCCCGTTTGACAAACAGACTACATTACCCAGAATGCTCAGCTCAAAACACCAGCGGCACGTGTTTGAGCATGGCGGCCACCGCTAAGAAGATAGTTGGTGTTTCTGAAGACTCAAGCAGCAGTGACGATGAAGTGTTGAGAAGATGTCAGGAGGCCGTTTGGGAAACACGAAGTGACACGAAGAAAGGTAAGGTGTTCCTGTTATGTTAGTAGTGAGAGGCGAGGTGGACAGAGAGAAAACTCCTGTAGGAATACGACATTAGCCTGGTGAGAAACCCACCTCTGATTTAAATCCAGAGGTGGTAGAGTCGAAATGTCAGAAATATATATTTGTATTGCACTTCACTGCTCATTAACTTGCTTTAACTTCTTGCAGCATGCTTGTTTTAACCTTCAGCGCTAATGTAGACACAGTATTTATTAAATGCATGTTACCTGATGATGACTGCTGCTATCTGTGTTTTAGATGGGGGCAATGTGCAACAGTCAAAACGGTAAGCCTTTTATAAATGTATATTTAAGTTATAAGAGCTAGTGTTTTGGATTGTTTATCTCCACTTCAGCTATTAAGGTTAAATACTCCAAATGTCCCAGCTATAGCTATATTATCAACGTGCAACCAGGGCAAACAATTAGCACCATTCACCAACCAAATGCTCTTGATATATAAAAAGGACTGGGGGATTTGCATAACTTACCGGCCCAATAAACAATGATTTTCTGGTTAAATTACAAAACTTAATTTTGGACATATGCGGCTTCTCTTTAGTGAATGGTCCAATGACAGAATTTCATACAAAATATTCAATCAATCAATAATCATAAATCAAGTAAGTTTGACTATTGTCTTGTTGTGCAACAGAATTGTTGTCGCTGACCATGATCACGATGCCAACGAGCTCCAGGTCACCCAAGGGTTTCGAACACATGTCGCCAAAAAGTTAGGAAATCTTCTCGACAGGTATGTAGTTTGACTTCTCTGCATTTTCATATCAATGTGAGGCGAAGATCCATATATTTGAAAACTTAACAAATATTGTCCCCTTTCCTGTCAGTCGCTTTACAGAGATGAAGACTGAAACTGAATCCTGTGCGGAGTCAGCAAAATGTGATGATGATGATGAGGGTACATTTTCTCTTTTATTTTGGTACCTACTGCTTTTCAGGGTATGCTGTTATTTTTAAAGGCATGCCCATCCACATGTTTTATTTTGTTTCTTTCCTTTTTTAGGATTTCTTCTGTTTTCTACATCAGTCCCGGGACAGGCAGCTGTAGAAGCCCCAGCCCCTGTGAGGCGGCGGCCTATCTCCAGCTCAAGGTTCTTATTATTACATTTTAAAATGTCATTTATTTGTATAGTAGTTAAAGGTTTAGTTTCAAAGTGACTTTGTATAAGGGACTTATCTAAAGTCAGTGTATTACCTACTGTACATTGAGGTTGGCACGCCCACGGTTTGGAGAAACGAGCGTGAGTGACTGCACAGAGGCATAGCAATGTACTGCTGAAACAATACGTATTTTAGCCTACTATTAAAAAAAAAAAGCCTCACTTAGGTGATTTAAAAGTCTGGAGTCTGATATCTTTGAAGAAAGCATAGGTAGCATCTTCAGAAAGGGTTGTCTGACGGCAAGGAACATTGTTGTCAATATAGCATACACGTAAACAATTTTTTAGGTGAGGCTTTTAACACCAACAAACTAATAGAACAAGGTAGCATTAGACTAATAACTGCCTTTTTTTGCTTGTTAAAAATACAGTTTGTTGACTCTGGTCAGTTCCTGTCTCAAATATATATTTTTTGCTTCCATGCCGGAATTTCTCCCTGCTCCCCAAACTGGGGACTTGCCAAGCTCCGTCTACTGTAGCAGATACACTGACTATAAACAAGCACCTTATACAACCTGACTTAAAAACATCCTGACTATCCCTGTAACTCATATATTTCTCTGTTGGTGACAGTGACAGTGACAGTGAGATGGAAATGAGGCTGCGGGAGGCGGCAGTGTCTATCAAAGATCTCTTGCCCTCTTTTTCGCTGCCCTCTACACTCTCCACCCCCTCATCTGAGCTTCCCTGCTCAGAAAATATAAAGGAAAAGAAAAACGTGGTAGAGGAAAAGGAGAACCATGTTGTTAAGAAGAAGAAGAAGAAGAAAAAGAGGAAACGGAAACAAGAGAAGGGTGAGCAGGTAGACTCTGCAGGTTCTCCTGTTAATGATGAGCATGGGAACTCTGAGCAGGAACACACGCAGGTCAAAGTGAAGCGGAAAAAGAAGAAGAAGCGACACACAGAGGAAGAAGTATGATGTGAATTTCTTTTGACTTATCCTTCACTGTTTTGGGATGTTTGTTATCCAGTCTCTCACAAGCTTGAAATATATATCCCAAAACATTTTGAATATGTTTTAGGAAGCTGTGTGTTTAAGAACATTCATCATTTACACAACAGTAAAACTGTATCTGAACAAAAAACCCTTTTTCATTAAAAAACCTTTTCATACCAATCCATGCTTATTCTTGAAATAATCTTTATTTTACTGAAAGAAGTCTGAAAAAGCATTTCAAAGCAGTGACATAAAAAAAATGTTGGCAACACGCAATTTACAAGTTACAACTTAATTTACAAATTATGAAAGTCACTATACACTTCAATGAAAATACATTTCTGTGTTGATTTTTCATTTGATTGTTGTATCAAAGGGTTAATCTTCTCTAATGTCAATCCTTGTTCGTATTACAGTGGTTTCAGAGAGTCTTTAAAAACATCAAAACTGAATCGTCCCTGTGGCCCCTGACTCCAGGTATTTTTCTGGAAATGTACAGCAGAGGTAGCCCTCTACCTAAAACACTGTCTCGCTGCAGCGCTTCTACTGTGCAGTGGAGACCATTTGTGTAGGGATGTAGGAGCTGATGTCTGTTGGTGAAGGTGAGAGGAGGAGAGACTGATGACTTTCTGTCGTGTGAGAAGCAGGATACAGCTCTAGGCTCTCGGATGAAGCTGTTGATAATATAAATACATAGAAATGAAAATCATGGAAGAGGATTAGGGCCATATGTGAACAAATGTAACAGAGTTCAAAGTCAGACATTATTAAATGTTCTCCAATTGATCTAATCAGATTAAGCCCAGCTTGATTGTGTCATGCTAAAAGTGACTCCAAATGTTAAGGAGTAACCTTGTTGTGTACCTGGCACAGGTGTTTGTGGCTGCATATGTAGAGAGTCTTCTTGTAAAGGAGAGTCTGTAAGTTCCTCAGGATCTGCTGTTAGAATCTATCAAAGAAAAGAAAAACAGACACATTTTGTAACCAAAATATTATTATCCGTGCTTCTTTGCAGTCTGGTTGTATGAAGTATTTATCTATAATCAGTGTCAAATCAACAGTAGCCTATCGTCACACAAGTAGCGGCAATACACATTTTAGCCGCCTAAAAAAAACAACTATATTCGTTTAGGTGATGCCCTTATCAATCCTTTTTGACAACCAACACTCCATTAAGGGAACAGTCATTTTACCGTGCAGAAAATGGGGGTTGCTCATTTGCTGCTGCCTCTATCTTTTAAGTCACACAATACAACACGCAGCTAGAGGTCTCCTGTGTTTTGCCAGGTAAAATGACTGTTTTTGTCAATGGAGGCTGGTGGCTTTGAGGAGAGCATAGATGGTCAGCTTCAGTTCCCTGACGGAAATGGCTGTCTAACAATAGGTTCAGGCGGTAAAAATATTCTATATATAGCGTTTTGGTAAACTGATATATTTAGTTGTTTAGATGCGCCTTTATTTTGCTGCTTCCTCCCTCCACAGAAGAACATTGCTTTAACTTCCAAGCAATATCTTCTTTCAGTTTCTCCAAACTTGGAATGTCCTGACTGTCATTCACTGTAGGTACTTCACTGACTGTAGATAAGCACCTCATCCAATTTAATAAAAACAAATATCCCTTGAAACATCCTGAACCCCTAGACTCGATTACCTGTCTGACAGCAGTGAGGCTGGTGAGCGTCCCCAGGCTGCTGCCCTCAGTGATCACCATGGCTTGGGAAAGCAGACTGGATGGTACTGAGTGGTACTGAGGCGAATCGGACTTGTTGTACACTGTAATGAGGATCACATGGTCAAACTTATCCCAACATTACACATAAACTCTAATCAGATTGTTGCTGTGATCTTACAGTGGCATGGCAGTTGCGCCATGGTTGCCATGAAGGGGCTGGCCCCCATGTGGCTCTGGAGTTGGTGTGATATGTGCTGCTGTGGAGAGCTGTGAAGCTGCTGCTGGAACGAGATTGGCTGGAGAGTGGTGAACCCGCCCCCCACGTTGTTGATAACAGGCATGCTCTTGGGCTGCCCAGAGGCTAAACCTGTGAATCGTAACGCACTGTTTTCGGGTTGTTTTTTTTAGAGATGCATGATATTGTCATGTCATTGGTAAATATAGGTTACATAATAAAGAAAAGATTATTATGTGCATTCAATGGAAAATACATGTGTGGAAAAATATACCTCATATTTAAGTCTGATTTATAGTAAGGCCGATCAGTTCATCGGGCTCTTTCATTGGACTTAAAATTAGGGTTTTTTCTTGGACTGAAGCGGCTTTGGTGTTTTCACATCGTCTGAATGTTACAAGTTTGTTAGTGAGTCATAAAAGTGCAGCGAGGTGTGGATTCAGGTGGTCAGCAGCACCTAGTCAATTTGTGTGGGGCCTCCCTTACTGTTACCCCCACCCCTACACATTCAGCGAACAATGGCATATACACACATCAGGGCAGCCTTTACTATAATTCTTAAAATATCAGTCAATTTAGGGGTTTACTTCTGTAGATCTTATTTTTGTTTTGTTGCATTGTGCTTTTTTTTGCTCTGCGATCACATTATCGGACATTTTGCCAATAGCTGTCGATAAGCTGTCAACTACCATTTGATAAGCAATTTGACCTTATAGAAAAACAGCCACATAAGTATATTGTGTATAAATCGAGGTCTGAGTGTAGTTCAGATTAACCCTACTTTTACGTTGTTTTGTTACGCCAGGGGTTCCTATTCTTTATATTCATTAATCAAAGTTAATATATTATTTTGTTTAACCATCTGAATGTAAAGCATTAATACTCATTTGGAGAAGGCATCATTAAATGCAAAGGCAATTGAAGCCAAGTGTTAGCAAAAATGTAATATCTTGCATCGCTGTAAATGTTTTTTTATATTCTATCAGAAAATAAACTAGAGCTCCAATGTTACCAATGAGAAGCGAGGACTCCCCCAGGCTCATCACGCTGGGTAGTGAGGCCATGATGAGGCCCTGGGAGGAAGCAGTGGAGGCAGACAGGCTGTGCAGCGAGGTCAGAGTGCTTACAGGAGGCAGAGGGCCTCCGCTGGACACCTGAGGGCAGAGGACAGCGTGGTCAGGATGGCAGCAGTGTATACAGGTAGTTTATCAAAACTAGCACCTGGACACCAGCCCTCACCAGTTTGGGGTTGTGCGTCTCCAGGAGTGTTTGGCTGGGCTCCAGTTGTACAGGGCTGACCACCAGACGTCCCACTATCTCCCCCACGCTCCCCCGCGCAGAGCTCATCGCGTCACACAGGATCTGCTGGCTGTATTTCATACCTGGAAAACAAGAAGTCAGGCCCCACAACACTGACAGGGGTTATATTATAATGTAAGTAAGCGCATTTACTTTAAGTAATGAGTATTTCCGGTGTGAGCGCTACAATTCGGAGGCAAATATTTGACTAAGTTAATATGGAAACATTAGTCCCTAGTTCCTTGCAGATTTAGATTTGAATAAAAAACATAAATCAAAACATACGCTTAATAATATTAATGAATGAATAGCCCTTCATACATGAAGGGCTATTAATTAATAACATTTTGTTAAATGGTAGATGATGATACGTTGTACTTGAGCATATTTAAGGTTTTTACATAATACGTAACAGTATTTCCAGACTGTTCTTAAGGATATTTCCTAAAATATAATATCTGAGCACTTTTTCCACCACTGCATTGATTGATTTGCAAATGGCAGCATAAGGGAACTGAGAAATATGAGCATCTGAACCAGAACCTGTACAGTCATGTCTACAAGGGTCTGATGGTTGTACACCATGGGATCAAAAAGAAAATACATCCTGTATAGGCAAGTCTAATCTCAATCCTGCTTCCTCTTTCAGTTTAGATTTCACTCTTGAATTTCAATGTGTACTCTCTTCCAACCCTGTTAGTGTGTTACCATGCTCTGGACTCTGGATGTTGAGGTGAGAGGAGGAGGAAGATGGGTTGGGGAAAGGTGTGTCGAGAGCCAGTTTGTTGCGAAAGGCCTCCTCTTTGCGGCGGTTTGCAAACCAGTTGTACACTCGGACCTCGGTGACCAGGTTAGAGCCCAGGCCGGCGAGCTGCGACGACGACACCCCCCTCTGATGGCACTCTGCCCTGAGGGAGGCACAGCACACTGTTACATGGCTTTTATTTTGAAGGCAGGGCTACGTTAGAGAAGTAAAAGAAAATGACCACTCTCCCCTAGAAAGAAATATTTGTCTTATTGACTTTATTTTCTACACATAGAAAATGATTACAGTAATAAACTCAATGCTTTTCAATTAAAGTAAGGATTCCTCTCCAGAACAGAATCACACCTCTTAAGAAACAGGGTTTCTTTCTATGTATTCATATGTATCAACAAATGGATGGTGAAGGGTTGCTGCCTTAATAAATAGGAAGGCACTATCTCCTTTCCTTTATTAAAGGATGGTCCAGTGCACACTATGCTACCAGTTATTGTGGCGTAGGGAATTCACAAAAACAATTTAATGATGTCGACTTAAAATACATTAAATGACAATGTGTTTAATGAAATCTATTTAACTATGTTAAATATGGGTTTTGTTGTGTTTGTTAATGGTAAATGATTTGCACTCAAAATACTTGAGAAGGTAAAGAGAAGGTCTGTAACCATACATGTGCAAAAACAATACAATAATTATACTCATATTGAGATTTAAGATTTTTTAAAAAGTGTATATAAATGGCACAAACAAGGATTGTGGCTAATTCAGTCCTTATCTATTGTTTGAAAGGAATTGATCAGATGTTAAGTGGGTTTAATAATCATATTTCAAGGCTGGCCTCGCTCGTTCTTTTGGTCTTGTTGGGTGAAGCATCAAAACTGTTTAAAAAAATCAGATATATTTGAATGATCCTGTTTTGTCCTTGTACCATCACTAAGGCTCACCTGTTACAATCCTCCACTAACCCCTCTCTCTCCTCCTTGCTGGGGTTCTTCTGTCGCTCGTAGGCGTGGAAGAGGATCTGCAGGGAGGCTGGACCCCATTTAAACCTGTTCCTCCGTCCTTTCCTTGTTTCCTCTCCTTGCTCCTCTGCAGATCCAAGGCCATGTTTGGCATTGGTAAATTCTGAAAGGTAATTATTTTTCACTTTTTCACACCTCTCTTTCAGTACCTCACTTGATGCATGTTTATAGTAGAAAGAAGAGCCTCTGCAGCTCGTCCTTGTACTCACGCTGGCTGATCTCGCACTGCTTCTTGACGTACCAGGTGTACAGAGACGCTCTCTTCTGGTTCTTCATGGGCGTGCCTTTGTTGAGGTGCTGGGAGAGATGGGACTGGTTGAGCCCTGTGGATTCCACCACCTCCCTCTGAGGGAGGTTGTGCTGCTGCATGTAGCTTTTCACAATTTTAGCAACGTGCCAGGGGTCCTCCCTGTTCGAAAAAATGTATCTTATTTTTGTGTGTTCTTGCCCACCTTTATATTATTGTGTATCCTTTCCACTTTATAGTTTGTTTAGCTTTCGCTTATATCCCGTTACCCTTTCCGTCATATTTCTGGGTTAACACTTTCTAGTCGAGTGCTAAACGGTTCTTCACAACATTGGACATAAAGCGTGGTCATTTAGAGGGAAGTAGAGAGAGGCTTATTGACAGAGAGAGATAAGGGAAAGCACACAGGGGCGAAGTCCAGCACTTTTTAGATCACTGGAGGGGAAACACGTGTAAAAGGTTTATGAAGCCTAATTTAACGCTTGTAACCGTCAGGTAAGCAGCAGATAAATACACAATACTACAAAAAAACTCTCTGACTGGAATTCAGCACAAACAGCATTTTGATATTGGGTTGAACCATATTAAAAAAAAGATTGTAAATAGAGTCTAGTGAGAGTTTTAACACTTTAATAAAAAAACCTCAGATCTCAGTAAAGTGTCCCAATAAAATACTCAGTATATTCTAAATATCATAAACCATCCCTAAAAATATGTAAAAAATATCCCTCATGCCTTTATGTAAACATGACCAGCCCTACTCCATTCATCTCCACCTAAGCATGTAGCTTATTCATTAAGAAATAGTTGTAGAATAATGATGGGGGTGGGTAATTAGTAACTAGCAAAGGAGGAACCCTCTTTAAATTCGCTTCACAAGCCAGTATGCAGAGAGAGAGGCAGATATGCAGGCAGAAGGAGAGTGGATAAAGAGGGAAAAGGAGCAAAGAAGAATACAAAACTAAAAGTGCAGTTTTGATAAACAGGATGTAAAAGAGAAGAAAGGGTGGAATCAAAAATAAGCAAGGTATTTTTTAAATTTGACCACGCACAGACGAATTACTGGGCAAACATAGTATTTTAAGGTGTTTTTTTTAATCAGTGGATCTTCCAGAGCAGTGCTGGGATCTACTCACTGCAGTAGCCGGTCCACTTCAGCCCTAAGTTTGGCCGCCTCCTCGGGGGAAAGCTTCTCCAGCTCTCGGAATATAGGCGGTGGGAAATCCATTTCTCCTTCCTCTGAGCTCTCTCCATCCCCCCTCTCGGTGCCAGTACTCGCCCTGTCTCGCTCCAGTTCCCCTACGGCTTGGACCAGGACGTCCCGGGACAGGCCAGATCCCAGCAGGGCCCAGATCAGCTGCTCCTGAAGGGCGGTCAAACTGCGCGGCTTGGCCTCGGCCCGCTCCTCTATCCTCTCTTCCATTGCTCTGATGCCTTACCTCGCTGCCGCCACGCAAACAAACACTGCTCTCATGTGCACTGCCACGCTCAAACACAGGCAGCGTTGGGCCTCATTATATTAACAGTCCCTCAGATACAGATACTTTAATTTTCCCAGTGTTGAATTTCCTCCCGATGTGTCCTGAGCTGCCTGGTTTTGGCTCTCCACCTGCTGTTTTGCTTTTCAAAGGTCAATATTCTTCTTTTTTTTTTTCTCTCTATTCACCCCCTCCTCCTTTCATGGGCTCTGTGAACTTTGTCCCCACTGCCTCAGTCCCCAACAGTGACCAAAGTGCAATTTAACAACAATAAATAAACGTGAGGGGATGTTAGAGTTGCATGCAGGGCTGCAGAGGCTCCTCTCACAGCCGACAAGTAAAGAAAACATAACAGAAAAAGTTGTGTGGTGCTTTTACACATGTAAATATTTCTGATTTCATAGTGAAACCATCTTTTGGGACGCAGAGAGAAGCTCCTCTTAACCATCTGTTTGCATCATGGATATTATGCAAACTTTAATGATGAAGCATGTAGTGGAAAAGTAATAATTAACACACATATGAACATTATATTAACTGAGCATAAACATGGTCTGATCTTGTCCTGCAGGCCACTAGAGAGCGCTGCTGTGTCATGTTTACATGTGCGCTACCCAGTTTCAGGATGTGTCCCCAGACCAAAGTTAGTTCACATTGGGGGCCGTTGTGTTCACAGTGTTGCTGAGTGGAGAACGAGTTCAATCACTCAGTGGAGAACAGCATTTTGACAGCTTTTATGGTATTGAAAGTAAAAGTACTTGTTCTACCGGAAAAAAAGACTTAAAGACCAACACAGTGATATATTATTATTGATTATATTTTACAACTTTCTTCATTTGTTTTCTAAATGTATCTTTTATTTTTATATATTTTACTTTTTGTATTGTTATATATGAGTTATATATTACTTATTTCACAGTAACTATTTTCACTATGTTTTTATCTTTATGTTGGTTTTTTATAAACTTTTTCTATTTTAGTTTAAATGATTTGACCACATCAGTAATTTACATAATAGACCTTTAAACAGAACTTGAGCTCATATACACAGTTATATTCCACCTATGGTTACAAATATGTTTGTACTTTTTAATGGTTTACTTTTCTTACCTGTCTGGAGTGGATACTTTCTTGTTAAGCACGTTGTAATCTCAGTCTATGTAAACAACCTTTAATCACCTTGATATTGGTGATTGTTGATAGTTTAACTGAACACGTCTTTGGTTTTTACTTTAATGCATTAGCGTGGAGCAGTCACAATGTAAATATAATAGAAATAATGTGCAGTTTATTCCGATGATTTAAAAAAAAGTGGTAGGCAGATGTGAGGGATTTGTTTGCTGCACCCAGAGGTGGTTTTAAACTTTTTTAATTGTTTTTACGTAGATTCATTTCAAAACCTTTTTTTTCCCTTCCAGATTCAATTCTTTATCTTTGATCCACCCTGTTGTGTTTTGTTAAAGAAAGTTGGCAGGAATGATAAGTTGGAAGTGGACTGGGAAAGGAACGAGGGCGAACTGAAAGGGAGAAAACCTTTGAGAGTTAATGTAGTCCTTTATCTTTCTCTCTCTTTCAGTGTAAAACGCTCACTTTCTCTGCCTGTATCACCTTATACCATTCTCAGGTTCAGCCTATCAGCACCTTTTTGTGTGGAGCTCCTGTTACCCCACCCCACCCTTGGGAAGATGGCATTATACTGTATTTGGAAGGGTAACAGAGCTCCCTCTATCTCCCTGAGACATGCCACTGACCTGTAATTAAGTCCCATTGTTCCATTCAGAGGAAACTCCTCACCAAAATGGACAGAGGGCAATGTGTGTGGATTTCCAACAGCTCAGATACCGCTGTGACTAATTCTCCACCACACAAGCTGGGTTTATCAAAATGGACCACATGCAGCACACATTAGGGCTCCTGCATTTCCCCTCTCCAGAGAACTCAAAGCTATGTTGATTGATAATGAGATACAATCCACACTGTCCATCTCTCATTAGTGAGCCTTTGCTGGCTGTGTTCTCTCTCCGTCTCTTCCTCGCCTCTCCCCCCCTTCCCCACCATTCAACCCCATTGATCATGCATGCAGAAATTTAACACACCCCTTAATTCCTGTCCAAATAGCCCCTGTCCCACTTCCAGAGCTTCAGCTGCTCATCTGCAGAGGTAGAGTTGGCCTGTGTGTGCAGGCAGGACACTGGCTGAGGATCAAATCTGTACTGGACACGATCTAGCTACAAGTTTTATTTACTTAAGTTTTTCCATTTGATGCAAGCTTTAAACTTCTACGATACTTAATATATAGGCAAATGTTGTTGCTTCTTATTCCTACATGTATTTGTTAACTTTAGTTACTCTGAAGATTCAGATTAATGATAGAATATATAATCAACCTATGATAATACGTGGTAATCCCTTGCTAAATTATATTTTATTCCCTTGATGACATAGTAATAAGAACACCACCTGTAACATTAAAGTGAAGAACATGTTAATGCATGCATCATTTTAATAATAAGCCTACTGTGAAGAATGAGTATATTACTTTAAAATATGTACTATATAGTACTTTTTTATTCTTATGCTTGCACTTCTGCTTAAGTAAGGTTCTGAATGCACCTTTTACTTGTACTACGTAGTATAATACCTATGTAAAAGATATACTGCACCACTAGAGTATTTGATTGTCCTTGTATATCTGTGCACCCTAGCATTTCACGCTCAGAGATTGTAGGGTGGCTGGGATTATGACTGTGTGTGTATTTTGGAGACATATCTAGCACTAAAAAGTCTCCAGACTTTCTAACCTCAGCAACATAATTTTAAAACCATGGGTAGAACAGCATACATTTTACATTCACAGTGAGTCAAATCTGTTGTTGTCTCTGTGTTGCTCAGCCTATTGATTGTCCCTAACTTTGGTCACCAGGTCACATGTTGAGTCAGTGTTGAGAAGATTAGCCAGAGCTGGCTTTGCTACTAATTAAATACTTAAACCCCAGCAATGAATGAGCACACAGCACACAAAACCTCCTGTTTCACCACACCGCATAAGCCGGTTTGCAATATGGAAGTTGTATTCAGAATAGTATTCAATAGATATTTCACGAGAGACACAGTAGCAGTACCAGAATGTTAAAATACTCTGTTATGAGTAAATCAGAATCGAGTTTATTGCCAAGTACATTTTCTCTTACCAGGAATTTGCTTTGGGGAATTGGTGCAGAACATAAACATAGTTAGAGAAATTAAAGTTATACATAAAAAAATATTCAACAAATGGAGAAAAATCCAATAAAATAAGAAAAAGTACTAAAGAACATTATGTACACCAAGCATACATATAGAAAATAAAAAAATCTTACAAATTGCTATTAAAAACTATGCACATTAATACCTCAATGTTGCAGCATGTAATATGGGGCTTGTTTGTATTACCTATTATATTGCTGTGTAGCCTTACCTGTGATAATACATCATCGTTTATTAGTTGATGTAGTTTGTAATGCCATTTAAAATCTGCAAAGTATTTTAAGTTATCAAAAAGTGTATTGGAGTTAATATACAATATTTGCCTCTAAAGTATTGGGGTAGGTGTATAGAGTAGGACATGAACTAAAATTAGGTAACTGAAGAGTATTTGTACACAATTTGTCATAGATTTCTGGCACTTCATTGTAAACTTTTTTCTTTTATTTAAGTCCTCCCAAAACAGATTATATTCAGAATGCAAATTAGTTATTGTATTTTTGGAATTGTAAAGTGTGCTTGTTAACACTTTATCCAAACTACGAAGGACATTGTGTTAAGTTATTCAACATTGGCGATATGGGACAGGAAGTTCTGCCTTCATAATAAAGGCTTAATGTTTGTCGCTTAAAGGTCCCATGTCATGGCCATTTCTACTGATCATATTTCCATTGTTGAGGTCTACTAGAATAGATTTAAATTGTGCAATTTTCCAAAATCACATTGATTTCTCATACAGCATCTCTGTATAGTATGTGTATTCACCAGGTATTCACTCTCTGTCCTAAACGGCTTGTTGGAGCTCCTGCCACCACCTCCCTGTGAGCCCAGTGTGCTCGGATTGGTCGGGACGTTGCGAGGCTCGTTGCTGCTTACCGCTGCTGCAAGCTGCTGCGAGGAGCGGACAGGTTTCCGGGTCGGCGATACAGCGAGAACAAGCAAAACTCATCCTGAGCACACACAAACACTCGAAGCCGAAGTAAAAAACAATAAGTGTGGCTTGATATTGAGTAAGAAAAATGTTTATAACGCAGTGAGAATGTGTCTGCGGAGAGCATTTCTCCGCGATCCCAACTCGTCTATAACCAGCGTTTACCAAGGGATCCTGGTGTGTGAGGTGTTCCGCGGATTGGTCCATTTGGGCCAATCCGGTCATTTGTTGTTGATTTGGGTGTTGGTATTGACGTATTGTTTACTTCTTATGATGTTTTTGTTGTCATGAATCCATATGACATTACATAGATGCTTGTTAGTGTGTTTACTCTGAATTAATTAGCTGTTTGTAAAAAGAAAAGTGGTTTATTATTGTTTTATTACGCTATATATATTTTTTTTAATAAATATTATTAGGTTAAATTACTTAAAAAGGCTATGCTTTGGATCTGATTGAATGTATATATTTCTAAAATGACTTAACCAGATCGTGCCTTGATTAAAGCTGGTCATTTTCAACTCGAATATAGTTTGAAAAGGCACTTAGTGCATTCCCTGTTCTAAAAAGCCACTCAAAACACTGTCAATGTAATACATTCTTATTTGTTAAGTATGCAGAAAGGTTGCATGGCTTAAAGTAAAGAGTATAGGTCCAGAACATTTAAAACGGCAACAACTGTTCATTTCATTGTATGCTCATAGGATGATACCATATATTGTGCCATTGTGACAATTGGTTCCCAAATTTCAGCTAATCAGTTATCAATAGCCGATTTTATTGGACCTCATTTGGCTAACTTAAATATTTTAGCAACAAAGAATAAAAAACATTTATTAAATACCAATATTTTATTAATGAATTCCAACTTGTAAAATTCCAAATGTATTTCAATATTGTATTTTGGTTTTGCCTTAAAACCTGATAAATGATCCACACTTTAATAACAATTTTGATCCTTTTTCTTTCATTTATCAATGAACAATGTATTTGTTATTCGGGGCTATATGTTTATAAGGCTTCTTACCTCCTGCACAACGTTTTACTTTCATAAACTCTTAGTGTAATTGTACTTGTTGTAGGCTATATGCAATCTACATGCATGTGTGCAAATAAACACAACAAAATATAATATTCTTTCACACTTTTTGAACAGGTTAGATAATTGTCCCTCTGTATCATCATTATGTACTGATACAATTTATTTTCTCTGTATAGTAAACAGCTGGTAAGACTGCTTTAGCCCCTGTGGAATACCTTCCACCAGGTTTTATTTTTGAAAGGCTGCACCGGAAGCGGTGCTTTCTCGCTGCATCTAGCTGCATCTTGTTCGCGCGGTGTCGGGATGAGGGAGCGACAGCAGCGGCACCGATTGACTGGAGGAGGAGGAGTCTGTCCCAGCCTGCATCTGGCCCGCTCCCCTCTCTGTCACCCCGGGCCAAACCCGCCCCATCGTCCCTCACTCACTCTCCGCCTGTTCTCCCGCACGGCTCGGCTCGGACACACGCAGGCAGCACTTACGCACAACACACGGACACGCAATGGAGACGGAAGGGAGCCAGAGCAGCCTGTCCAGCACGGACTCCCCCCACGACCCCTGGTAACTAGAAAACTAACTTTAAAAAAACAAAACTTAAATCGGGTATTCTGTAGAGGGACTTTGGTCTGCACCCACACACACACACACACGCACGCACGCACGCACACACATACACACACACACACACACACACGCTCACGCACGCACACAAATACACGCACACACACGCACACACAAACACACACACACACACACACACACACACACACACACACACACACACACACACACACACACACACACACACTTCCACACCTCCACACAGAGCGCCTTCATGCAAAATCAGAGATGATACACTCTCAAATTACCTCCAGGGTTACTTTCAAAACCTCTTTAACAAGTTTGTCTTAGTGTGTATACTCTTCTCTTTTAGACCCCACTAACAAATATGCAAATACGATTTATTTTCTTTTTTCCACAGCAAAATGTTCATAGGTGGACTCAGCTGGCAAACAACACAAGGTAAATCTTTTTTTCCACCAGTTGCTAGCTCTAACAAAATGCCACTATGTCTTCAAAAATCCTGGCATGGGTCGGATGGAACTAAAAGAAAGTTATTTGAGAAGCTGTATTTCTTAATAGTCCTGCTTGCGTACATTGAATTTGTTTATTTGTTTTCTAGTTCTTTTACTTTTAAAAAAAAGTTTTTAATTTGGATCCTGCACCAGAATGAATGCACCTATTGAGAACTACCATAGAATGAATGAGTGATTCTTAAAAAGATAATTAAAAAGGCTGAATTTGATTAATTGGCTTGTAATAAGGACTTTAAATTATAATTATTATTAACTTTACTTTTTTTCTTCAGTCTTTATCATTTTAAGTCTGATTGAAAAATGTATGAACTTTCGTGTGGGAAGAGTGAAAACGTTGTACGGTGTAAATCTTCATCAAAACGTTTGCATTTCCTTTTAACTTCTTGTTCTATAAATTCACATGTCTTCTCCCCACCGTTTTTGGTTTCTCAGAGGGTCTGAAGGAGTACTTCTGCAAGTACGGCGAGGTGAAGGAGTGTATGGTGATGCGAGATCCAGTTACTAAGCGCTCGAGGTGAGAGAGCTGTTCGGCTGAAAGTTATCTGACCTCCGTGATTCCTCTCTGCTCATCATAACGTATCATTACATGTCAACATCGGTTCCTGTGTCATTAATACCCCCCCTCCGCCCATGGTGTCTGCAGAGGGTTTGGATTCGTCACCTTTGTTGATCAGGCCGGCGTGGATAAAGTTTTGGCCCAAACCAGGCACGAGTTGGACTCAAAAACAGTGAGTTCTCTGTATTTACTTCCCACCACCAGCTAATCCCATTGCTCAGTGTTTCATTAGTGGATTTCCCATTGCTTGTATGTTTACTAAGGTTCCACTACACCAATGTTTTTCTCAAACCATGTCCGCTGCTGCACCTCAGATGTGAGCACTTTCCGTGATGCAGTCAGCGGTCGACAGACGAGACACATGGGAGAGTTTGCTCTGCAGGGGAAGAAAATGTCACCCAGTGTCAATTTCCATAGAAACAAGAGGGGAGCGGGACAGGATTGCTCTCAGTGCCACTCTTTGATTTGTTCTCTAGGAACTCAAACTTCCTTTCTGCTTTTTTTTTAACGGTCCCAAGGGATAGAATTGACCCCCAGGAAAAAGAAAAGTTTCTAAATGGAGCAAAAGCAACCTGAAACCATCAAGGTGTGAATTGTGAAAGCAGTTTCCTGTTGATCCTCAGGAAGAATACAACTGTAGCGATGATGAAGCCAGGCCTTTTCACCTATGTGAATGTAACTTTAAAATGCATTAATTGCCTGTGTTGCAGTGTGTGTTGGTGTGTGTGTGTGTGTGTCTTTTTGTCAGTAATGAATGTGGGCCGGCCGGGAACAATGTGGCCCGTTGGTCGCCATAGGGACCAACTGCCCCCGCCTCTCTCTCTCCTCTGTGGGAGTGGTGATGGCCGCTGGTTAGTCACTGTATTGAAATGAGGGGAAGCTATTTCTTCTTTCCCCTTTTGTGCTCTGCACGATGCACCTTCCTCCAAATCTTTGGAGGATAAGTGCTGGAAAAGGAAATGGAGAAGGAGGTAAAAAAGCAGTATGTTTGCTCTAAAAATTAAAGGAAATTATTATAGATTGAAAATTATGAGAGGTTAGAAAAGAGAAGACGAACTGAATCTGTGTGTTTGTTTTTTGTTGGTTTCCCCAGAGCCATACTGCTATAGTGTCACTTGCAGGCACAACAGCTATGACAAGTAGCGGCATCATGGTTGGACGCCACTAACTCGCCATGGGGTTTGTTTCCATAGTGACCCCCCCCCCCCCCCCTACAACACTAAACATACCCTTCACAGTTGAAGAATGGCTCTGTCACAAAAGAAAAAAGGAAGATAACAATGCACATCGTTTACAATCATTTCTGGGGCACTAAAGAAATCATGGCACAGTAAGTGGAGGCCATGATACTGACAGTTTATCCTCACGCTGCCTCTATTGATGGGAAACTTATAACGTTTATACTAAGACTCAAGAGATGCCGATTCCCCTCTTTTTTAATTTGAGTTTCCTCTGAAGTTGTGTTAAATGTGCGCAGCCTCGTGGGCCGTGGCAGGGCCCCTTGTGGCTGGTTGTGTGTGTCGGTGGTATTTTTTGGTGGGGGCAGCCTCAGAGAGGGTGTGTTTGGCGTGGAGAGGGCTCAGTGATCAGCCACAGGGGTTGGATGGTGAGTAGAGTAGGCCTTTTTAGACGGCTCACCCTGCCCCCTCTCCCTCTATCCCTCTCCCTTCTCTCTCATGCTAACAGGTTATCCTGTTAGAGAGGGAGAGAAAAGTTCTCCAGTGGCAACAGAAAGAATGTGCCATGCTGTGACCGACTGAACCTCTCCGGCACTGGAATTAACAGAGCTTTGCACGGCCCAGAGGCTAAAGAGCAAATACAGTGCTGCAGAGGAATTTATTAGTTCTTATTGTGTTGCAGGACAGATTCCCCTGGTTTTGACCAGTGGATTTTACTGTGATTTACGTAACTGCCCTTTTGGGAGCCCACCCGGCTTCCTGCTATCTGTAAAGTTAGTGACGGCCGATGCTAACTGCACCTTTTGTGGGACAAAGTTTCTATTCAATCGCAGCTCCAAGGTGCACAGCGGAGAGGTTAACAACAAAGTCACTCAGCTCTTTGCCGAGTTGCATCAGGCTCCCGTTAACCATTTCCATGCTGACCTGGAAAGAGGGGAGAGGGGGGAAGGCAGAATAACCCCATTGGTGATTAGTATGGCTCTCCTAACTAATAGGATTGGAGTCAACAAGCTTGAGTTGTTCCTCAGAGATGTTGAGTGCGGCCAAATCGGCGTGTTTCGTTAAGTGTGTTGCCAGCTCAGGCTGTGAGAGGCAGCGCCCTCGACCAACTGTTGCATAGCTGGGATGTAGTTGCTCAAAAGGGGATTGCCCTGATTTCCTAAACCTCTCTTGGAATTACGTTCAGCCTCTTCCCTGTTACCTTGCTGTGAGTACAGCGGGGTCAGGCCACTGATACCTTGAAGCGACTTCACATGTCTTTATATAGGAGAAAGGTTGTTTTTTTATGTTAAAAAACCCCTCCAGACATCTTTTATGACATAGAAAATGCTTAGAAATTATTTATGTGTCTGATATGGTTCTCCTACAAAAAATGAACAACCTCATTTAAAATCCCCATAATAATAGCTACTGCTTCTCCCTCACTTTAAAATCTAGAAGCTACGAATATAATTTAGTGTAATGCTGGACATAATATGTATCACACTTCACAAAATAACATATTTTTGTTTTGATTTTCCACGTCACAACTTGCAGACTGCGCAGCGATTGGCTGCCAGACTAGTCACAAATCATGCATGTCAATAACGTTTTTAAAGGAATACTTCATCTACAAAATTACGATTTTTATATCAACTACTTGACCCGTGTTACCTTGAATTATTCCCAAAAATGTGCCTTTTCCCATGCCTAAATGCTCAACAAAAACATTTAAGTAAATAGTGGCAGTGAATTATATTTAAAAAACTGTTTCAACTTTCACACAACTGGTGCAGTATAATCCTATAAACAGTACTAAACGTCATGTGTTTGGGAAGTAGTGAGCATACAACTTCATAAATGAGACTTGGATTGTACTGCAAGAGTTGCACAACAGTTTTGAATAGTATTACATTTGTAGTTTTACTTAAATTCTTCAACTCTTTCAAATCTCTCTATGTATATTTTTATATTCTTCATCCGCCATGAATCCACGCAAGAGAATGATAGCTTGCTTCATGAATTTTTTTAATGCAAATAGTCATTTGGGGGGCGAAGTACTCCTTTAAACTCAGGTTTTAGGTAAGTACAACGACTTCCCCCTCAAACAGCCTTCTAGTGTCAAACCCTGCACAGTGAAGCTCAAACATCCGGGTAAAGAAAATGTTTTGGAGTGGAGCGGGACTTTAAATACTTTACTTTGCTATGATCAACCTTTTTTTTCCTCCACGAAGCACTTTACCTGTATAACGTCCACAATTTCCTCCCCACGGATGTGCTGCCATGTGTTTGATTTTGTTTGTTTGTGTGTGTGTGTCTTGTTTGTTTTTGAATGTGAACAGGAGTGTTGGACATCAGGAGGGTTGGTGACCGGAGGTGACTATCAGAGTAGTCTAGCCACCATAGACACTAAACAGTAGACTCTGCATCTGATCCTCCAGTCTTAGCCTATAGTCTTCTCACTCTGCTCTCTAGAACAAAAGAAGGAAGAAAAAAAAGACAAAGCTTGCGGTGATGTCAACTTTTGTGTCTGGTAAACGCATGCGGTTTACCATAGAGGCTCTCTAGCTCTCTACTGTAGTTCAACTCTCCCCTCTCATGGTTACGGACTAATCTTAGCGCTGTACTGTCTCACCATCTGTTAGTGTAACAGCAGTACAGTGTGGTGTAGTCTAGTTGTTTTCTAGCTCTATTAGACCAGCATAGACTAATATAGAGGTCTCAAATTCCAGTTTTACAGCCTGTCTATGATTGCATCCTCATGGCATTGTGTGGGTCTCAATTGTAACCGTGGTGACATTCAGTGGGCTCCACCACGTTGTGTTTAAATTGTTTTTTTGATCATGTGGTTGTAGTGTTAGGTAGAGGTGGGGGACTAGAGCCTAACGATCCAAACCCAAGTCAGACTTAAGCAGCACATTTGAGGACTTGAGGCTTACTTGACCCTGACAAAAAGACCCGACTTGACTTTGATTTTGTATTCAGGACTTGAGACAGATTGGGTGATATCCAGTGTACTGCACTGTCCACCTTATAGGTAGAGGTTAGGGATAAAATAGATTCATGAAATAATCGAGATTCTTATCTTCTACGATTTTAAATCATTTCTAAACTTCCAAACATCCATTTATTTTTCTCCAAAATAGCCTAGATATTGCTAATGATAGACCCAGCACATCAAGTCAAAGCATTATTTTGAGAGTTGTTTCTTCGAAAAGAAAAGGCAGCCCGTCTGAGCCTAGCAATTTTCTCTATGTAATGTGAATCAATTGAAAAAATAAACATCTATTTGTGAGACACCAAAAGATTCACAACCCTTTATATATAGGACAAGGTTGACAAGCATAGTCCAGAATTGTATATAAAATGTGAGCTAATTTACAATTGATGCATGGTGTTTTATGTATGCCAAGCTTCCCTTTTAATGAAATAATTTCTATTTAGAAAAAGTTAGTTTTATTACATTGACTTTTGGACGGTTATAAATTGTGGTAGATCATCAGAATTGAATTTGCTTTGACTTGTCTTGCTTGAGTTACAGCAGAGATTTGACTTCTCACCACTAACTTGGGACTTGGGGCTTGAGACTGTGAAGTTAGGATTCATGACCCGCATGTGACTTGCACGTGCATGACATACTCCCACCTCTGGTGTTAGGATTAATATCAAAAAGTGTTTTTTCCTGATTGTAAACGTAAGGAGGAGCAGCAGGGCAGAGGACGATCCGGATCACCTAAAAGCGTGCAGGAGGATGAATGATCCCTGTTGTTCAAAACTTCAGAGGGAGGCAAAAACAAACAAACACAAACAAACAAAATGTGGGTGAATCTTGCTGTCAGTGTGGTTCGATTGACAGCTCCCTCTCTCCTCTGTCTCCCTCCTCGGTCCTCTCTCTCTCTTTCGGACACGCTTGTCCTCTCTCTCGCGCGGGGCTCTCCCCCCCGAGGTGAGGCGTGTTTGTGATTTTAGAGCCCGTGTGAGATTCCAGGAGATCACATGTCACACGGTAGTGACGAGAGAGGCAGAGGTCCACTGGACATTCCCAGGCCTTCCACCTGAGCACAACTGCAACACACACACACACACACACACACACACACACACACACACACACACACACACACACACACACACACACACACACACACACACAAGTTGACATGTACATTTCTTACTTCCTTCATATACTGAACTACAAACACAAAGCAAGCATACTTATAAATAATCTCGGGGGGGGGGGATAGTGCACACATTCAGATTGATGCACACAAACAAAAGGTTTTCTAATTCTTTATCCGATGGAGAATAGAATGTGGATTTGATGTCCTTCAGATTTTCGTTCACAATAAAAAGTGGTGTCATTCTGTTTTCCAGCGCAACAAGGCCTGAACGTCGTAACATCGGTGCTGCAGGGTTTCTGTGGGTCCTTAAAAAGTTTCAAATGTACATTTCTGAAATGTAATCTCAAACTAACTTTGCATCAGATGTTATGATCAACAGTGTTTTTGTTTTGGTACCAAAGCAGCCAGCCACTGGTTTAGCAGGTGCATTTACTGGAACATTATACTGTATTGTTCAATGTGATAGTGACATGTTAATCTGTCCCTACTGAAAGTATTATTGAACTGATTGTAAACTAATTTTCATTTATGCCAGTATTACTGTGAAATATTTACTATTTGTTCGCTTAAATTGACGTTTTCTAAACCTGCAGAAATCCTGTTGCTTTGATTTAGGATTGGTGCGAGGCCTGGAGAAGGATAGCATGGATATAGGACACCTTCATTATTGAGATGTTAAAGAATGAAAGATGAGTGTGTGATGTCTGATCACACCTAAGGAAGGCTTCTCTTTCATGAAACAACACTAACCCGTCCTCTCTTTCTCTGTATTCTCCCCGCAGATCGACCCAAAGGTGGCTTTCCCTCGCAGAGCTCAGCCCAAGGTGAGTCTAAGAAAGATTCTTCTTGTTTTAGCTAGTTTCATTTCAATCTCTTGTAGGCTAATATGCCTCGTAATCTGAACACGAATCACTAAACCGTTGTGTAAAACATTCATAACTTTAAAGAGACACTGATTATTTTAAACTTCTCAAACATCTGTATTATGTTTCAAGTACACTGTGTGCTGATCTTCGTCTGTTTTGTCTCCAATAACAACAATAACAGTGTGAAATAAAAAAGGATATCTTACAGCTTGAAGCAATACAGCTAGTGCATAAGGATGGGAAGTGATTCATTGTCATCAATGCCAATTATTGATACTTCTTATTGGTCCGAAATTCTAACCGATATCCTTATTGATTCCTGATTTAAAAAAAATGAAGTGACACACGTAATCATTAAATGTGTCTGTTTTATATTAAACATAATTACAATCATTGAAAACTTTTAGGATTTTTTTCAAGCATCTCCTTTGAAAACAAACTTAATTAATAATAAAACAAAATTAATAAAAAGTAATATAGCTTTTTTAGCACCTTTTATTGAATTATAGCTAATAAGGTGGCGTTTTTCCTCATCTAAGCGAGGTTCTAACGAGAAGATAATTACTTTTGTACTTCTGGGGGCAGTGTTGTTGAAGTGTAGTAAAAATTACAGCAACAGTGAGCACTACTGTGTCACTGAGTCATAGAAATTTGACACTTATAATACAACATATTTATTCCAAAGTATTAGAGTAGTGTTCTGTAGGGTTATAACTTACAATAATGTTCATTATCCAGTCATATACCAATAAATCATTTGATCGATAAAATGTCAAAAAGTCAAAAAAGTAAATTTCCAGTTTTTCAAATCCAAGTTGCCGTCTTGTTTTGTCAGTGCAACACCCAAAGATATTCTGTTTAGTGTTAAACAAAAAGAGAAAAGCAGGATGTTTCCATATTTAAGGCTGGAAACAAAATGTTCTCAAGTTTTGCATAAACAAATACTTCTATCATTAATCCATTATAGAAATAGTTGCTGATTATTTGATCGATTGTTTCACCCCCATGAGACTGTGTATGTGACTTACAACTGTGTATAACTAGTGTATCCTTTACAGTGTGTTAAGGATATAAATTGCATTTCAGACCATTTTGAGCTTCTATCCTAGTAGATATATTATTAAACCAACATTTTTAAAACTAGAATACAGTAGGAAAACAAATATAAAATGTGTGCCTTTCCTCTCACAGTTAGTGACTCGAACCAAGAAGATATTTGTGGGCGGTCTGTCCGTGAACACGACCATCGAGGACGTGAAACAGTACTTCGACCAGTTTGGGAAGGTGAGTGATGTTTAGAAGAGGTAAAACTGAGGTAAAACTGTCACACTGCGGTGGGAAAGGAGAGCAATATTGATCCGAGTGGATGAGGATAATGTTTGTCGGGTTATAACAGACCATTACAAACAAACAGCTTAGAAACACACAAAATGGTACTACATCCCACCGGCTCAAGCGAGTTATTCAACAGAAATTCTCTGAGAAAAACTTTGTAGTCGGGCGACCGCCTTGAAGTGAAGGGGTTACTGCGAGGAGGAGGAGGAGGAGGGAGAGAAAAAGGCTTGGAGAGGGAAGGGAAAAATAACGAGGCTGAGAGGCTCCGGGAGCAGCAGGCGAAGTTAGGGGGACGAGAGGGGAGGGGGGGAGAAAAGTTTTGTAGTGAGTGTGTGGTGATGGTGAGGAAGGAGGAGGGATTATCAGAATCTGAATTAATCTGATGTAACAGCTGCTCCTACCCACAACCCCCTCCTGGCCCGTTACCGTGGTGACCCGGCTTGCCCATTGTCCCCGAGTAATTCTGCGGGTAAGGGGTTTTTGTTCTGAAGGAGGAGGGATGAGGTGGTGTTTGGGGGTGTTAGCACAAGTGTGTGTGTGTGTGTCGGGTGGGGGTCAAACTCACCACCAATAACTGCGACTTAAGCTCCAAAACCTGTAAACTCCTTCATCTCATCTTCATGCATTTTATATATTTTTTTTATATTTCTAAATAAAGTTTTTTTCCAAGTTTTTGAGGCAGAGAATAGATGATGGGCTGACAAAGGCTCCGACATGCGAGGGAGGCCTGATTGAGAGAGGCTTGCGGAGGCGTACGAGAGGGAACTGGGGCAAAGATGGGGTTTTGAGGGAGGGGGGTTACGGGGGCCATTATGCCTCTGTACAAAGCTGGGCAAATATTTTGTTAGTTTTGTTCAGAAGTTATCTGCATACTGGAAGTTTCTGGATTGTTCACACGCTCCTAAATGTGTCTTTAAACGTAAAAATAAACATCAATGATAATATGTGTGCAAGGGGAGTAGTGCTGCACCTAAATACTATTTATATTGTCGATTAACTGGTTAGTTTCTTGGTTTATAAAATGTCAGAAACAGGTGTTTTTCCGAGCCCTAGTAGCATTATCAAATGAGTTTTTATGACCACATCTTAAGTATATTCACATTACTGTCATATAGGAGTACATAGACAGGAACAAATACATTTAAGAAACTGAAATCAGAGGCTGATAATTGATTCTCCAAACCCCACAACGACTTAATTGAATGTGTTGTTTTGTTCACAACTTAATAGTATGTGAATTTTCTGTAATAGAACAGTAAACCATATTTAGCCTGTTTTAAAAAAAAATATTATTATGTAAACTACTACTAGACTCTCAAAGCAAAGTTGCAGTATAATAGTTCACAACCATGTTGATTATTCTTTGCACTCTACAAGTGAGGTTTGGTTGATCTTGTAGGAAACAAATGATACATATAAATACATCCTAAAACGTTTTTACAGTATAACGCAGGTGCACAATCTTCACCTCGAGCTCTTGAAACTTCTCAAAGTCAAATGATAATGTTCAGTTTTAGCCGCCGCGTTACCGACTGCTGTGACACTTTATTTTCAGTGCCAAAGGTTTGGCCTCGAGTTTCCCCGTGCTCCCTCCTCAATCATAACGTCTAGATGAATTTTGCCGAGAGAGATATCGAGGGATGGACGGTGAAATGTGGGCTCCAGCCATCCATGGAAGTTCCTGATTAGACTGCCTCACTGGACCTTTTGTGTCCCGTCCTGGGGAGGACAAAGGAGCGCGGAGAGGGATGGGCAGGGGATAACAGGGAAGATGAGAGGTGGGAAAAAAAAGGATAAGAGGGAATATTGTCCGGCGGTATTGTCCCAGTGTTTGAAATATCAACCAATGATGTGCAATTAACTCAATGCGCAGTGTTTAATGCAAACCACGGGCGTTGTTGGGATGTTTTGATTGCATCCTCCAGGGGGATAGGTTGTTCACGATGGGATTGAGTTTCCTCTGTCAGCTCAAATTTAAATCTCTAGCATGAATCATAAAGTGCATTCTTCACCTTTGCTCCTTACAATTGACTGTTTAAAAATGTGGCAACCTTAGAACGTTTTAAATCGCGTTTCTGCAGAGATAGAGCCGACCATTTTGCAGGTCTTGTTCAAATGTCAGGCTCGGAGGAAGCAGTGACTTGAGAGGCATCAGAGTAACAGGTCCCCTTTCACACTGACACTCCTCACTCACCTTTGACCTTTCTGTAGGAAAACTGCCCTAGGGGGTCCACACTCGCACACTCACGCTCTGCTACTATGACAAATTATTCAGTGGACTATATCCAGTAAACTTATTATAGACCGATAGCACAGATTAATTTACCAAATGTTTTTTCGGGACCTCTGTGTGCGGACTGGAGCATAAACATGTCTGCTTTTTACAAGAGAGAGGGGGGGGAGAAGAGAATAAAATAACTGCCGATAGTAGGTCAACTTTGACATAAGAAACTGTGTGTGTGTGTGAGGAATAGACACCTGTGTCTTCGCTCTATAAAGGGAGGCTGGGCCGGAGGGAGAGGTCAAAGGGAGAAGAGGAGGAGGAATTATGGCTGACTGTGCCAACAAACAAAGCCTGCAGGCTTCTTTGTTCTCCCTCTTCTTTTGTCTCTCTTCTTTCTCCTCCCTTTCCACTTTGACCCAATCTTTTTTTTTTTTCCTCCTCTCCTCTCTTACAGGACTCTCTGTGCTCTCTCTTTCACCATATCTCCACCTGTCGCTATTCCTCTCGCTATCAGCTCTCCCCTCTCATCGAGTCTCCACCTGCCCACACAGGATTCACCTTCCCGCTCGTGACTGGCTCCTTTTTTTCTTTTTCTGTGCCTTTTCTCTCTTTGCGGCACTCTTTGTCTAACTGGCACTCTCCCACTATTCATAAACCATATTTGATGTTGGCTCTTTTATATGGACTTTTTGTACAGTTGCCATGGGAATGTCAAACTTTGGAGTGGAGAAAGGCTCACTGTGAGAGGGATTTTGACCAGGGCAGCAAACACAATTTCCAACTTTTCATACCAGCCATTATGTCTGTTAGTCTTATACAGCTGCAGGGCTTGTTGTACAGTATTTCTTCATATTTCCCTCCTCCTTGTAACCTGTCGTTCAGCCCCCTCCCTTCCTCCTCCCCCTCCTTTCTGTCCATCTGTTGCTGAGCCTCCCTGCAGAACTTGAGAAGGGCTGAGGTCAGGCAATATGCCGCGTGGCAAGAGACAGAGTGCCGCTTTTTAAAAAAAACTGTTGTTTGTCTCCCCTCAGGTCGACGATGCCATGCTCATGTTCGACAAGACCACCAACAGACACAGAGGTGAGTCAGGGGGACCCGACTTCCTGTTACCTGCGTCTGTCCTTCTCTCTTCGTCGATTTGCTCCTCTTCCTCCAGTCCTTCCAGGGTATCTATTGATCCCCCTCCACCCCCTGCAGGCCTCCTTCCTGTGGGCTGAGCTGGAGGAGAGGAACGGGGCTAGTCTAATTAGCCAGTCGGTTAATCTGGATCAGGATAAAGCCTCCTTAAGCACCTCCTCCCCACCCTGGGACTGATCGATTATGACAGCCTACCAGCTTTGCCCCGGCCTTCTGGCCAGGAAGGGGAGGAAGCAAGGATGAGTGCAGAGTAGCAGAATTGAAATAGGGTAAAGGGGGGCAAACGTGTTAAGCGGCTATTAAAGCGCTGATTACTAGACACTATTAGCTGTACTGCTGCACAGAAAGGCCCTACTGTCTAAATCCACTGTACTGAGTCAAGTTCTCTTACTAATAAACTCTAGAAGGGCAATGCATTTGAGATTAGATATTGTCATTGTCCCGAGGGTTTATAAACAAACATGTGGAAGCAGCTTTCAGCTTCTATGCTCCACAAATCTAGAATACACTTCTAAAGCATCTGATATCTGCCCCAACTTCCCCTACTGCTTTTCCGAAGTCCTTTAAAGGCATTTCACTGCTATACTTCTGCACTTCTTGCAAAATCTGCCGTATTTCCAATGTCGTTTTAAAACTCTCTTTTTTATAACCATTTCATTTGTTTTGTGTGTTAGTGCTTTTAAAATGAACTCTTAATCGCCCTTGTGTTTGAGATGAGCTTTATAAATAAACTTGCCATAACCTTGGATTTTTTTATATCGTTAGGTCGCATTAGTATCTTTCCCTGATTTTAAATGACATGCATTTCAGTAAACTGATTTAGCTGCCCATACTGTGCTAGCTGTTCTATTATTAGTTATTTGGACAATATATTCACATAAGATTATGTATCAAGAATTTCATTGTGTAAATATTTTGTGAAGGCCTCAAAAGTCAACTGAACAATATGTGGGTAGAGGTATTTCATCAAATGTATCGTAATGTTAGATGTTCTCTTTATTGCTTCACCATAAAAATCTCCTTTTCCTTGCTAGGGTTCGGATTTGTGACGTTTGAAAACGAGGATGTGGTCGAGAAAGTCTGCGAGATCCACTTCCATGAGATCAACAACAAAATGGTTAGCATATTACAAGAACAAGCACTCTAATAGCACCATATTGTGTAGATGCTAGAGGCACTGATTTCTGTTTTTGTTTGGAAACAGGTGGAGTGTAAGAAAGCTCAGCCCAAGGAGGTGATGTCCCCTACGGGCTCAGCCAGGGGGCGCTCTCGTGTGATGCCCTATGGGATGGACGCCTTCATGCTGGGCATCGGTATGCTAGGTAAGCTAGTATTGATCGTCACAGGAAGGATGAGCGGCTGCATGCATGACATGACAATAAGTATTCCTGCACTAAGTCCGCAGCTGTCTCAAAGGTCACACGGGGCCTCATGGGGGGGAAGCTGACCGCTCCCACACTCCGCCATGCAGCCCCGATTATTAAGACCTCAGTGACGTAGAAATAAAAACTGATATACGTAGTGATTTATACTTGTAATTACTTGCTGCTAAACATACTATATTGAAACTAGTCAGTAGTTGGATACATTATAGCAGGGTTAATATCAATAAAACAAAATATGTTCTTCAAAATATTTGTTTCAATAACTAAGATAAACTGAAAAGTTCCATATAATCTAACCACTCAAATAAATCCTAAAATATCGACAGTTTTCTGATAACTTAAATAGTCAAGGGTTCATTTGACGACAATAAAACTAAAATGTCCCATACTTTAGTCAACTAAATCTTAAAAATAAACTAAAATGTTAACAAAAAAAATATTGCTGACAGAATTTAAAATACTTTCCCCATCAAATTATCTTTTTGTTATGAAAGTTTACATTTCTCCTTTTGATCAGTAATTAAGTATTCTACTTCCATAACATTTTGGCACCCACAAGTGACAACAAGTACTTACATTTCCCATAATGCAATCCTCAAACCCCCTTATTCCTGTTTGTAGCAGGCTTTTCTGTTATCTTATATCTTGGTTTCTTTCCCAAACCAGGATCATGGTACCACCTACTGTTCAATCTGAGAATGGCACCTTTCTCTTTAGCATTTCATTGCTTTCAATAGATATGTTCATGTTTTTTTGAATGTTGCTCTTTCTTTCTCTTTCAGTTCTTGATGTTGTGATGTCTAACAGTGTTTTCTTTTTTTTTCTTTCTCAGGTTATCCAGGTTTCCAGACGGCCACCTACACCAGCCGGAGCTACGCTGGCATCACTCCTGGATATACCTTCCAGTATCCGGGTAAACACACACTTTCTGCTCCTCATTCACATGTTTTTATCAGATGATTTAAGAAACAGAAACACAGCCACATTTAGTTAGCAGGTGCATGTTGATTATTAAGACTTAAAGGTACATAAAGGTGCTAGATTTGGATTCAGTTTGCCTGAAATCCTCCTTGTGTCCCTTGAAACGTACAGTATACATACCCATACATACACTGTGTTAAGGGTATAGAAAGGAATGAAAGTTGTGCTTGTTGTAGGTAAATAATCCTAAATGACATGCATCAATGTCTTTTTTTCTTTGCTGCAGAATCTAACAAATACTGATGTTAAAAAAACACGTATTCTTGTAAGCTAGAAGTGACATCCCATGTCTTTTAAACCCATGCACACATTAAAAAAAAAAGTCATCAGCCTTGCACCACCAGCACTTTTAGGCACTGCGATGTTTTGAGTTAAATGCTAACAGCTACACGCTAGCAGGTAATATTTAAAAAGATCACCATCACGGTTTAGCATGTTAGCATGCTTATATTTGCTATCGATCTGGTTCAAATTAGTGATGGAGGATCCAATATAATCAAAGAAAAGAGAAAACATAGTTGCTTCAAAACTATTTTAGAATTCCCATGGCACGATTGTGTCCCATTTTCTGTCAAGCACTGAAAAACAAGAGCACCTAAACTGAATTAATGAAGCACTTTGAAGTTAAAATCCGCTGTGTTGGTCTGGCAGACGTCGGAAATACAGACGTGTTTCCATAGAAACCCAAAAAAGATTTTAAGTCGCTGCTTGTAAATATCAAGGACTGGAGTAGCTTAGCTTAGTGTGTGTGTGTGTGTGTGTGTGTGTGTGTTTCGTATGCATGTTAGCATGGCAGTGTATGATTTGAATCTTTCAGTTAATCCAAAAGTAGATGTTTTGCATATTGACACAATTGTAACATTTGTTGTATTTCTTGCCATTTAATACAGATTTTTTAACACCACTTTATTGAATATAAAGCATTTTTCCATCCTTTAATTCCTGTTTGCATCCCTTAAAGCTTGTGTATTCCAATATGTGCTCTCTCCATACGGCGTGTCGAGGTGATTTCCTCCCTCTATGTGTGTGTTTGGTTGGTGTGTGTCTCAACAGCGCTCTGATGTTTCTGTTTTAGAGTTCCACTTAGAGAGGACTCCCCTTCTGACTTCACCCCATCCCCCTGAGCTCACAGGTCAGTCCGTCCCTCCTCTGGACTTTACAAGCAGCATGTTGTCAGTCTGCTACACTTCACTCTCCGGTCTGCATGTTTGTGTTTGACAGTCCTTCTCGCTCTCTGAAGACAGGAGGGCTGACAGTAATGAGGAAGGTTTCACTTTAACGCCTCGCGGCAGTGACCTCAACTTTCTTTGTCATCATAACAAACACTCTCTGCTTTATATCATGTGTAATAATAACATATGCAGTGACGTATCTGCCACTACATTACAATACCACTCCTAACTGTACAGTTTTTACATTCATTATTTGTCCATCTTTGTTTCTTGTAGTTTATTGTTTAACCTGCACTGTTAGTATAACTATGTTTATTGTATCTTTTGTAACTCTGGCAAAAGACTTTCCTTGGGGATAAATACGTATCTTATCTTACCTTATCTTATGATCAACATCTGAATGAGGTCACTGAACTAAGTTGTGTTATTAGTTAGTTTTTATGTGTTTGTACCGCAAGACATCTAACTCAGATCTTTGCCCCTCTGTCTCTTTAGCCATTCCTCTGACAGCATATGGACCAATGGCAGCAGCAGCAGCGGCAGCAGCAGTAGTTAGAGGTATGCAATAATAATGGACACATACAAATAATTAGGGGCCTCTTGAATAATTTATTTTTCTTTCATGAAACACTACTGAAACACTACTGAAACACTATTATTTTGGCTGTGGTCTGGTGAAAATCTGATGTTGTGTCAACCCTAATTGGGTTTTAATAACACATAACATAACACAGCGAATAAGTCGTGACACATAAGGTTATTATAAAACATTACATGTTATTTAGCTGGTGTTTCATCCAAAGCAACTTACATAAACTTTAACAGCGTATAATACATGCCTACAGGAGCAATCTGGGGTTCAGTATCTTGCCCTGTGGGATCAAACCACTGACCCTCTGATTTGGAGATGAGCGCATTTGACCCCTGAACCACAGCCTCCTCTAATATCAAATAGAAAAATGCACAGTAGAAAATATTAACTATTTTTCTACATGTTCATATGTACTACCATTTAAAAAGATGGTTACATACACACACCTGTCAAGAAAATCTGAAAGTTGTTTTATTTGACTTTTAGGCTCTACCCCGTCTCGCACAGCTGGATTTTTAGGTACGAGCAGCCCGGGGCCGATGGCCGACCTTTATGGGAGCGGTCAGGAGTCGGCAGTCAGCAGTTACCTCAGCGCCGCAAGCCCCGCCCCCAACGCTGGATTCGGCCACGGTTTGGGGGTAAGACAAGAAAACCTCTCTGATGTTTAGTCTAGCAACTTCAAGCTTTGTGTTAGACACGTTTCTGTCCCTTTTTCAAATTGTTTAGGGCATAAGATTACATATTATAGGTTATTATGTAGTACTGGTACATCATGCCATGTTGCTGCTCACCTTTAATATTATATTTAAGTATCTAAAGGCAATTGTTTAACATGATGGGAAATAGACTTGTTTGCTTTCTTGCTAAATATAAAAGTAAGAAGTAAGCTATACTAAAATAGCTTTTTTAGTTTTACATTCAAAGCTTCTTTTAAAGATTTTTAGTGAAGCTTTGAAACAAAAAAAATACATCTTCAAACAAAAAGTGGTTTAATCAAATAACATTTATACTCTCTTTTTTAAGTTGACATTGAATGCTTCCAAACTGGCCTTTTCTTGGCATTTCTCTATAGTTGTTGTTAGGATTAAAATGATGAAGTGCCATCAAATGAAGATTTTTTATGACGTCAGAGCTGAGATAAATTATTTGTTGTTGGGTTTATATAGATGCAATTGTAGGTGCTTCTAGATTGCTTCAAACCACCCTGTTAATACAGGTGTTTGTCTCCCTTTGTGTGCAGCAACCAGGAGACAAAAAAGTGAAATAGGTGTTTTTCAAAGGCTCAACGCCAACAAATCTGAATTAAAGCAGAGTATTTTGTTGTATATAAACAGGTCATCCCAACACCACTGAAATATATATAATACAAATAGTAGAATACTATGATATTAGTGTAGCCTAACATTTATCTGTAGCTGTGCAGCAATACTGAGTTTAAACATGATGAGTACACTTGTAATCCCTTTATTTCCCAAAATATTAGCTCTAAAGTTGTCGTCAGCATTAATACTGTCTTTGTTTTTGTATCTAACGCTATGTGAACAAAAAGAACATTACCTGCATATTTTACCCATTAACTATGTTTGCATTCGTGTGCCTTATTTGTATTTGTCAAATGTGTGACCTTGTTCTAAAGTTGCATGAGAAATAGTGGATGAAAACTCATATATTGATGTACCTGTGTTTCTCAGCTGTGTGCCGTCATGACTCCGGGTGTGTGCAGTTATTCTTTCAACAAAACACTGTAGCAGCTCACTTCAGTAAATTCAGATTTTCCTAAAAAAAAAAAGTTGAATCTGTAGTCTGAGAACAACATTTTAAAACTTGTATTCTTGCTCCCACAGGGCCCTTTGATCGCTACGGCCTTCACTAACGGCTATCACTGAGACGTGAGTCATCATCTTGTTCTTACATTACATTTCATTTACCCAAAGCGGCTTAAGGTAGGTGCAATCAACCATTAGGACACATATTCAGGAAAGCAAAAATCCAGTATGCACATAAGATTGAAATTAGCCCAATGATTAAAGTTTAGTTGCATTCAAGTAACCCAAATATCTTTTAGTGCTACAGACAGATATCAGAAGGTCCTTTAGATTTTATTTCCAAGTTGTGATCGAAACATCTTGGTTTGCAGTCTGGGACAGAGGATGTGTAAACTCTCTTTGCCATTCTGATATCAATGTGTAGCTCATTACATAAAATAAGACTTATTTAAAACATATAAGACTGCCCTATCGAGACTCACCTGGGATTAGGGCGGGGCAATATGGAAAAAAATCAATTGCCACAATATTCCTGATCAAATATCTCGATTTGTGTATTGCAACGATATTGTAGGATTGAGCCATAGTGCTTAGGGCTATAAAATATGATAACGTCGATATTCTGATATGAGACGAGATACCATCTTATATTTTGGTTGTCAGTGTCTCAATACAACATTACTGTTTTCTTTTTCTCAATTAAAATGGGACATTTCAGTAAAGTGATCCTTCCACACAAAGCATTTACATTCACATCGCTGATCATTTTTTATTAAAAACTAAATACTTTAAGAAAGCATCAATAGTCTACCCTATACCTCGATATAGAGGTATTTTGTCAACATTTTTGTGAATTTCTTTTCATGATCAGACATCTAGTCTGTCTCATATCAAGACATTTGTATAACAGTGATGTAATGCGCAGCGCTACCTGGGAGTAATTGGAGTGTTTTTTTGTGTGCAGAGCTGTAGACAAAGAGCTGGTGGGAGTTGAAGCTGCTCTGGAGCTGATCTGCCCAGGTCTCTGCCCCCCTGTCGGGCGGAGCAGCTGAACTTCCACCCGGTGTCAGCCTGCCACCCTGCTGACACCTCACTAAACTCCACCTCCTGAGGGAAAAAAAGTTCATAAAAGGAGCGAAAAGTCACTTCATGTAATAGCAACACATACAGATGCTGTATTTTTTTAGTCTTTTTTTTTCTGTTGTTATGTTTCACCTTACTGTTTTTGTTGTTGTTGTGATGGTTGTTTCTTTATCTGTTTTGTTTTATTGGGTTGTATTTGAACCTGATCTATCTGAGATAAGAGGAGAAAAAAGAAATCTCCAGGATCTGTAATTTGTACTGGAAAAACTGTATATTTCTCAGTAGTTCATACTGAATTTAACAAAACATTTGTGATTAATACTATTTCTTGAAAATGTGTCACAAAGTGTATATCTTGGTAGTTTTTTAACAAAGACTTGTTACACTAATAATGGTCAAATGTCATTAGTTGCAGTTACATATTAGGCCTACATGAGCTGTACAATTGTAAAATATTGTAAATACGACTCTGGTTTTGGGGGGGGTGGGGGCTCCGCTAAAGTTTGTTTTGTGGGAGGTGGGAGGCTTTTTGAGGAATAATAATACGATTGCTTTTTTCATCAAAGCGTATGTGTTGGAAAGCTTGACTGTTACGTATCATAGTTTCACATGAAGGTCAAAAACATGTCAGTATGTTTGTCAATATTAAACCAGCCACATACTGTATTTCTCTCCAGGCATTTTATAAAGGATGTGTCATTTCAATCTGTGTTAAAACACCTTGAGTTCAGCAGGAGAGAGGCTGCAACAACACTTTTACTTTTTGGGGATAAATGCGTGTGAAAATGCTCTTCTTTCAGAAGGGGAGATTAAAACGTGCTGATTTCTTACTTTGTCATATTGCTGTTTTAACTGTGATTTTCAATATGTGATGATTGTTTGTCAATGAAAATGAAGGAGTAGTGTGCAGGAGCGGTCGAGCAGAGCGAAATCTGTAATGACTGCTCCGCTCTGCAGGTTGTGTTGATGTTTGCGTGACATATGGTCTTATACACATTGGTTTCCAATGTGCCATGTGCTGTTTTATTGGGGCGGATGGTACCTCAGTTTCAAATGTGAAATTTTAATCTGACTTTTTGTATTATTACATTAACATCAAGTGTGGATGGTTGCACCTTTTTAGAAGGTGGCTTTCCTACAGGAAAGGAGGGGGGTCTAATTAACTCATCCACCCTCAAATCAATCACTGCATATCCACTGGATGTCACAGACTGTAGCAATGTGACAGCTTTTTTTAGACCAAAACCATTATGTTCAGAGCTACTAGGACTTTGCACTGGCCGATCACGATACATGTTTTCCTTCGAACGTTAGAAGCGTAAGAACAAAGCACTCTCGATCTACGAAGTACCAGGTTTCTCATTTTGATACACTCGCTCTCACTGCTGCGGGCTACCACGGTAGTTCATACTTTGATGCTGTTTTCACTGAAAAATAACAATCTTGTCAACACTGTAACATTTTTTGATTTTCTTTTTCCTGTCATGTTTATTCCTTTGAAAAAAAAACCTTTTTAAAATTCCTAATAAATTATTTTAAAACATTCCATTCATGCGTACTGTTTGACCTTTTTGAACTTTTTTGCTCTTAATGTGTACTCGATATATATTCAAACTATACTAAATAAAACATATCTCACATATTGGTGCAAAATTATAAATAATGCCTATGAATTATTTATATATTTATAATTAAAATAAAATGTACTAAAAATGAAAAAATACTTATTTGTAAAAAGAAAAGTACATTTTAAAACTTAAATAAAATGTTAATAAATTATTGAAAACGTTTCCTAAATTACATTTTCTATCAAAATACTAATTTTCCACATTATAAAAGAGAACTAAATAAAGGAATTATTATGTACTAAATTATAATCATATATTTTCTATGATATAAAACCCATTAGATATATTTTCCATTTGTAATTTGTTCCCCTTTTTTCTGACACTGTTTCTAAGCACCAGCAGGACTCCCTCAGTCTCTCTGCAGGCTGATTTCTCTCTTCCATCATCACTGCTCCACTGCCTCCACCTCCTCTCCCCCAGTGTCTCACCCCTGGTGCCTCACCCCGTGCCTCGCCTCCCTGCTCTCACTGTCCCGGCGGCCGGTCATGAGGTCCTCGCTGTACGGGTGCGCTAACCATGTGAAATACGGGGAGGCTCCGATGATCCCCCCCTCTGAGGAACTGCCTCTGCCTCACCATGTTCACCTGTTTCTGGAAACTGTTTTTTGCAACTGTACTGTTAACATCCCAATGTCACTGCACATCGTAGAATAAAATATATGTGTTGCTTATCTGTTCACTTGTTCAAGAAAGAAGAACAATTGAAACAAAGATACACAGACTTATTCTATTCTATTCTAAATGACAGGGTTTCGAAAGATACCAAATAGTTGATTTGGGGATTTATTTAAATGATGCACAATTTTCATTTCATGCATTGGGAAGACATCAGAAACATTGAGTTGTATTTCAAAACAATAATTATAAGGGCTAAAGGTCATCAAAAGTCAGTAGATGTCATTACATGTATTATTATTACTGGTAATCATCAATCAAAAAGGGAAAGAGTGACCATTCCTTACCCTGAAATACTGCTGACTCTTTATCATGAGTGTTTACAGTTACAGGCTCTATAATCACATGAAACAGGAGAGCCGTGAGAACACCTCTGAGAAATCAGTGTGATATGGCAGGAGGACGCTCTCCTACTGAGAAACTATGCTGACTTCAGCTTTACCTGCCTCTTACACATACAACATTACATTTTATGAATCAAAAAACCAAAAGCCAAAACACTTTTAAACTACCAAAAGCACATCTTGGTGTGGCCCAAGTATTTTGGGTAATTGCCCTTTTCACTGCCAAAACAGTTAAGTTAAGTATTTGATTTCATTTTGTTGGAGTCCTAAAGATGTCAAATTATCCAAAAAGACACAGAAGCAAAGATAAGAGGAGAATTAAAAAAACATACATTTTATTTTGTAAAGGAAAGGTTTTTTGTTTTGTTCTATCCTGATAATATGTATTTACAGTGTGACCCATTGTGGAGCTGCAGCCCCTTATTTTGTGATCACTGATTCAAGCTGCTGCCTTTTTTTTTATTATTCAAAAGGATAAGTGTGTTTACAGATGTCTTTTGTTTCTCTTGATTCTGAAATAAACCAGAGGGATCCAGTGGGGGTTCCAGAACATTTTAATGGGGTGGAAAAGGGGGGCAAGAGGTAATGTCTGCATGGCATGGGAGGGCGGACAGTAGCCTACGTGGGATTGTATAGAGAGGCGAAGTCCCTCCCTTTCCGGTCGAACACATGGGACCTTATTTCGGAAAAATTATGTATTGAAGTCAATGGCGAGAGAAAACTTATCTTTTAATCCCGTTTGAATTGTGCCACGGATTACACATAGGCTATATGATGTTTGTCAATCTTAAAAAATCATTTCCATGTCAAAAAAGTCACAGTTTGTCGTAAAACTGTTATAAGACTATGAAAAATACACAGAAAGACTACAAATCCCAGAGTCGCCTGATTTCATTCGTCATAACTGATATATATGTGATGTCATATATATATATTTTTTTCCTCCACTAAATATAAGAGATAGCTAAGATAAGATAACTTTAACAAGATGCCTGTGTGCTTTGTACCAGGTTGTAATCATACCAGCAATGGGGTTTTGCTCGTTCTTTTGCTTCCCGTCTGATGAAAGGACCAGGAGTTTCTGGATCAAGTTAGCTACCTAGCTACTGTAGTAGCAAGCACGTTGGCATCAATACATCATTTAAATAAGGCCCCATGAGGTCCACCGGAAATGGAGGGACTTCGGCTCTGGTATTGTTATGGTCAATAGAGAGGCAAAGTCACGCCCGTCCATGGGACCTTATTTCGGAAAAATTATGTATTGAAGTCAATGGAGAGAGAAAACGTATCTTTCGATCCCGTTTGAATTGTGCCATGAATTACACAT